GACGTACTAGCACCGAGAGCAGCAGCCTCACCAGCACCTAGAGCAGGAGACGCACTAGCACCTAGGGCAGCAGCCTCACCAGGGTCAGGCGGTACGCACAGGCAACAGGCACGGTCAGCACTAGTAGACAATGCATACATGGCAGTGAGAATAGCATCATAGTCAAGCGCAAAGATATCTACCCTCTGTCTATGCAGCTCCAGCCAGGTGGGGAGCTCAGCCTCGTCGCCAAACACTGTGCGCCAGTCGTCGCTCAGACGGGCGAAGCAGCGGGACTGTGTGTGACCAAGCGTCCCACAAGGCTGACCAGTTTTAGCACCTGTGCGAATGACGTACGGGCAGCGGACTGTACGCGTAGACCTGCTACACTGAGCGTACCACTCCTGGAGCTGCCGGGGCGTAAGTGTCTCACGTGGACGTCCCTGCAGCTGCAGCTGGCCACTGCCAGACGCTCCCAACTGACCAGCTCCAGGGCGACAGCTACGACGGCTACCGCGACAACCCCAGCTAGTATACCACTCACTAAGCTGCTGAGGCGTCAGAGGCTCGCGTGAATGTCGCTGGAGCTGCATCTGGCCACCTGCCAGTAGCAGTAGCGCAGGAAAGGCAGGCGCGGCAGGCAGGCAAGCAAGCAGGCAGGCAGGCAGGCAGGCAGGCCGGCAGGTAGGCAGGCAGCCAGGCAGGCAGGCAGGCAGGCAGACAGGCAGGCAGGTAGGCAGGCAGGCAGGCAGGCAAGTAGACACGCAGGCAGACAGGCAGGCCGTCAGGCAGGCAGGCAGGCGCTCACCAAAGGCTGGGAGAGCAGGGCCGGCGCTCGAGTAGGCGCACGACAGCGGCGACGTCGGGGCCGCAAAACCGGCTGCAGAGCAGGGCCGAAACAGCTGGAGGGCGCTGCCGCGTCAGCGGCAGTAGCAGGGTGGGGCCGCGTCAGCGGCAGGTCGGGGTCGTGGCAGCTGCAGGGCGGGGCCGCATCAGCGGCAGGTCGGGGCCATGGCAGCTGCTGGGCGGGGCCGCATCAGCGGCAGGTCGGGGCCGAGGCAAAGGGCCGCGCGCGGCCGCGCTAGGGAGTAGCGGGCCGCGCGCGGCTCGGCGCGGGCTGTTGCGGGCCGCGCGCGGGCCGTGCGAGGCAGGAGCAGGCCTCGCGCGGCTCGGCACGAGCTGCTGCGGGCCGCGCGCGGGCTGCGCGAGGCCGTAGCAGGCCGCGCGCGGCTCGACGCGGGCTGCGCGGGCTCGGCGCGGGCTGCGCGCGGCAGCTGCGAGCTGCGCGCGGCTCGGTGCGGGCTGCGCGCGGTTGCAGCGGGCTGTGCGCGGCTCGGTGCAGGCTGCGCGCGGCTGCAGCGGGCTGCGCGCGGCTCGGTGCGGGCTGCGCGTGGCTGCAGCGGGCTGCGCGCGACTCGGGGCGGGCTGCGCGATCTCGGTGCGGGCAGCGCGCGGTAGCAGCGTGTGTGCGGGCCCGACAGGCGTGTAGAGGCGGCGCGCGGGCCTTACGGGCCTCTAGGGGCAGCGCGCAGGCAAGGCAAGGCAAGGCAAGGCATACAAGGCAAGGCAAGGCTACGTGGGGTAGCGCGGTAACCGCAGCGGTAGGTGGGCCCGAAAAAAAACGGTCCTACGGACCTTAGTGCTCTGAAACCATGTTAGAATCTAGCAGCAGGAATGGATGAACTAACAGGATGCAGGAGTACAAGTAGTAAACCCTAACTAGGTTGTACCCCATATGGGCTACCCCACTACAGCCTAGACAATATGCAGCACATATAGTTTGACATCCGGGCACGCAGCGATTTTTTCTTCCCGCCGCGCGCCCCGGGCGCGCGGCGGTTTTCTGCCCCGTCACTCGGCGCGTCGCCCCCGGGAGGCGCTGCGACGGGCGACGGGGACCCGCGCGTCGCCCCCCGTCGCCCGTCGTGGCCTGCGCGCGGCCCGTACAGCCGGCGCGCGGCCCGTACGGGCTGCGCCAGGCCCGCGCGCGGCCCGTACGGGAAGCGCCAGGCCCGCGCGCGGCTCGGGCCGCCTGCGCGCGGTTCGGGCGGCTATGCCAGGCCCGTGGGCGGCCCGTTCCTCGCTGCCCCTGCCCTCCCCACTGTCCCCCGTGCTTCTACTGGCGCCCCACCCCTCCTACAGCCCGTTCTCCTGAATTAGGGTTTGGGGGTGAGGGGTATGGGGGTGAAGCCACTGAGTGCCGTTCCCCTCCTCCTCCTCCTTCTCCGTCTCCCACTGCTGCAGCTGCCGCTGAGGGGGGTGGGTGTGTGGGAGCCGAGGGAGTGGCGCTAGGTGTTAAGTTGTAATGTGTTATTTATATGTAGGTAGGCTGTAGTGGGGTAGCCAATACAGGGTACAAACCCAACTAGGGTTAGCTACTTGTACCCAACTGTTTCTTTCAATGCATCATTCTTGCCTAGTTCTTTTCACACTAGGGGGTGTAGTGTGAGCGGTGCTAGGGGAACAGCAGGGGGTGTGTAAAAAGGGGGTGGGACAGCTGGGGGAAGTTGAGAGGAGGCCGTCGACTTGTCGTCCGCAGCGCCTGAAGTCCAGGGAGCCACGACCCCCTGTGGCCTGAGTAGTCCGGGGCTCTGCGCCCGGTAGCTACAGTGTGTGCACTCCTGGGAGCACAGCGAGCCAGCTGCGACCCCCTGTCGCCGTGTAGTCCGGGTTTAGCCTGGTAGCGTCAGTGCGGCGTACTCCTGCTGCCTGTGTGTCTGCAGCTTCAGCCGTCGCCTCTCATCTTCTTGCTCCCACAGTTTCTCCTCCTCCTCACTTGCCCTCTGTGATAGCCTCTAGCTTTGCTTATAATTGTGAACTATTGCTCTGTCTGCTTGTTATGTTGATTGTACCCCACTTTGACTATGGGGGTGTGTCAGAATGTGATGGTTGTCTAGCCTGCAGTGGGGTACTCTATAGCGAGTACAGCCCTTCTAGGGTTTGCATATATGTATCCCTATGCTTGTTAGTCAAAACCCTTCTTGCCTGTTTCTCGTTTTGGCCTAGCATTTTGACAATAAATGCAGCCTATCAATAGAACACTTGCAGGCGCACATTGGGACAGAAACGCACAAGGAAAAGCCCAAATGAATCTACCCCATTGCTAGCACGGTAGCCACCACCTATCATAGTTCAAACGTTTGCAGCAGCATTGGCGGTGAGGAAGGCTTGATGCTGAGGATGCTGGGCTCGAGAATGGAAATGCTGCTGCCCGCCTGACCCATCAGCCCCTTGGCTCGTGCTCCTCAAGCCGCTGCACCGAAAGGGAAAGAGAGGGAGAACAGTAAAAACTGATTTGTCTCCCTCTCCCACAACCGCCCCTCTCCAACGTTCCCTCGCCCCCCCCAGCCCCACTCCCTCATCGCCTACATCCTGGGGAGCAGGCTGACAAAACAGTTTCGAGCATTAAGTTATTTCAGTTAGTGAGAAAATGGGAAAATTAGACCCTTACACAATCAAGGAGTTTCTCATTTTACCCTGATTTTAACAGGGTGGAAAAAAACCAACTCTGACAGTCTAGGTGGCGTCAGCAAAGCACCGTGATTCTAAAGGGTGCCCTGAAACCAGTTTTAGGCCCTGGCGACCCACACATTTCTGCAGGGGGGTGGGGGGGAGAACAACTAAACACAGGGAAATGTGCGTTCTCCCACTTGCTCACTATTCTTGCCGATTCGACCAACCCTTCGTCTGCACCTCTGGGGTGGGGCACACACACATTGGGGTTGCCTCCCTCACCATGCCCTCACAATGCCCACAGAACGCCCTCACAATGCTGTCACACTCACACTCAAGCGCCACTCACCACGGCACTGCCCGTCATTGGCATCGTAGACCTGAGTCCCAGGGCACACACACTGGTCCTGGCCGTCCCTCACGATGCACCTAGCTGCTGTCCCACAGTCCCCATTGCAGCCTGTGGGACAAGCATTGAGGTCATTGTGCAGGCAGGGAGGTGAGGCAAAGTGGGAAGGCAAATGAATCAAAGGCTGAAACCATTCAATGGATGAAACAGGTTATTAATTGATGGCTGAAACGTCTAATTTCAATCAATGGCTGAACGAGCTCAAATCAATCAAGCGAGCACAGAAAGTGAGAGCGGGGCCAGAGTTGCAATCTCACCCGTCTCGCATCTGACTGACGCTGGCATCTCGGCGACAAAGAGCCTTCTGAGAGCAGCAGCAGCGGGCAGGGGCATGAGGGCGGCAGGGGAGCACAGGGAGCGATCAGAGTGAGACACGTGGAAGAAGGACAGGGGCGCAGTGTCGCACCAACCGAACCAGATCTACTGAACTCTTCAACTGGCTCCAAGACGGGCTCGAGCGCTGCAGGCACATGCGAGCTCACATGGTCGTCACCGCCGGAGCGCGCAGGTACGTTGCGCTGGGAGCTCCCAAGCAGCCCGGCGCGGAGTGGAAGGCGACGCTGCCGCACGGGGACGCGCCGGGATACACGCCGAAATTGACCGTGCCTTCCACCGTGCTGAAGTTGAAAAACGCGGGGTTCGTTGCGCCATCCACGCTCGCGCACACCGCGTCGTTGAAATTCGCGCTCGTGTAGGCCCGCCCGACATTCCCCACGCCGCGGAAATCCACCAACGCGTCGCCTAAGAACGCGGCGCTGGCGGCTGTGAGGAGCGCGAGAGCGACGACGGCAGCTAGTGCCGTGGTGAGACCGGCTCGAAGGGCAGAACGCGGGCCGCGCGCCATGGCGACGAGAGGAGGGGTGATTGGCGAGGGGAAGGTGCGATTGCGCGCGAAGCGGCGCAAGGTGTAGCGATCCGTGAGGAGTTAAAACGAGAAGGAGGGGAACTCTGGGAGGTTATGAGGATAACTCGTGTGGAATGGCAAGATGAAGGCAGGGAAATGGAGGTCTATGCAGTAAGAACGTGGCCATCGCTGCCGCAAACGCCGCGGGAGGAACGCGAAGGGGTGAAGGGAGCGTGAACGAGGCCCCACGGCGGATGAGGCGACGCTGATGATTGGCGGGGTTTTCTGTGAGCACGCGTCAAGTGGCATTGAGCCATGGTTATTGGGCGACTACTATGTAACGCGAAGGACTAGGCAGTTCTGGAGGTAGTGTGATGTGAGTGGCGACGAGCAGCAATTGGTGAAAATATGCTTCACTATAGCTAGAGGAACGCGGTCGTGCAACGCGTCATGATGATCCTGATGCTTGCGGTGGAAGCGGAGAAAGGATCTGCTACATGGTTACCGAATTCATATGAGCTCTCAAATGGTGTATGAAAATCCTTCTAATAGCGGAGCTTGCTACATCGCGTAAAGGATCAACCGTTCTTCACCACACCACAAATTACCAGACCATGCATCGCTTGCAACTGTTCACCAAACCCTTCTGGTAGTTCCGCATTGCTGTTGCTGTTCCTATCAAATCCCACCACATTCCTCCACCTTCGATTTCTCGTCGTTCTCACGCACCTCCTATCCTTGGATTTCTCTTCGCTCGTTCTCCCCTACTCGTGTCGCATTACACCCGCGCCTCGCACCATCGCCGCGCCGAAGCCGCCTCGTCGGCGCAACGCGCAACCGCACGCATCGCCTCAGCCCGCCGCACACTGGCAGGTGACTGTCGAGTCCAGTCTTACAAACCTCTGAAATCCTCTTCGGTGCCGCCGTGCATATAATCCCACGCATTACCCAAGCAGTCGCGTCGGGCCCGCCGCGCTGCCATCACATTCCTTGCTCGCTGCAGTCCTTGCCGGTAGTCATCCTGCTGCGTCGCTCCCGCATAGCTGCCACTCCGTGCTTCCCTCTTTCCACTGCTCTCGCATCCTTTGAGGTGTCTGTGGCGAATGTGGCACTTGAATGCGAATGCGTTGCTTGTAGCGAATGCGTGGCTTGTAGCGAATGCGTTGCTTGTAGCGAATGCGGTGCTTGTAGCAAATGAGGCGCTTGTTGCGGTACGCCGCGTGTGTGTCTCACTTGATGATCAATCTAACACGGCTAACAGTCCAACTCTCCCCTGCGCCTCCTCCCCCCTGCGCCTCCTTTGCGTCACCCCCACTTTCTTCATGCCTTGCCCTGCCTCCCTCCATCGCCTCTTTCTCTCGTCTCGCCCTTGACAGTGAAGTCACCCCTGCTAGCACGTCCTACGAGCCTTCACGTGAGCGCGAGCACCGGTCCCTGCAAGCAGCGGGAGGGGCATGGCTGGTGCGCGCGGGGAGGCGTGCGCGGCAGGGGTGGCAGCGGTGAGGGCGCTGCGAGCGGTGAGGGGCGAGCTGGCAGCGCTGCAGCTTGAAGTGGCAGCCGTGCGGGAGGAGGCAGCAGCGAAGCAGAGTTTAACGGAGGAGGTGGAAACGCTGCGGCGGGAAGTGGCGGCGATGCGGGAGGAGGCGGCCGAGCAGCAGAGACTGGCAGACGAGGTGGCATCGTTGCAGCTAGAAGTGGCGTCAATGCGGGAGGTGGCGTCGCAGAAGCAGAGCCTGGCGGACGAGGTGGAGGCGCTGCAGTGGGAAGTGGCGTCCTTGCGGGCGGATGCAGCAGCAGCGAAGCAGAGCCTGGCGGGCGAGATGGCAGTGCTGCGGCAGCAAGTGTATAGGGCGTGGGAGGTGGCGTTCATGCGGAAAAAGGACGTGCAGCGGGTGAGGGGCGAGGTGGAGGAGATGAAGAGGGAGCTGGCGGCGGTGAAGGGGGTGATTGGCAGCGACGAGGACGACAGCCGCGACATGTGGCACGTGAGTCCCGCTGCTGGCTGCTTCTGTCATTTTGTCCCAGCTTTGCACTAGCTGTGCTTGCAGCAGGGACCAGCATTTCCTCTTTGGCACATGCATAGCCTGTGGTATGCTCCTTTTTCACTTTCGTTCAAAGTTTGCACTGCCGCTCTGCTCATTCCTCTCCCCACACTCTCTCACACTCCCTCTCCGCCCGCTCCCTCTCCTCTCCGCACAATCTCCCCGCATACTCCCTCTCCGCATACTCCCTTTACGCACACTCCCTCTCCGCCGCACATTCCTCTCCGCAGAAGATCCTGGAAGCATCGCAGGAAACAGAGCTAAAGCTGTGCGAGCAGGCATCGCTGACAGACGCAGTGCTGGCACACGTGGCCGGCATGACCCGCCTCTCCGCAGTCGACCTCTCTTCCTCCTCCGGCTTCACCACACACGGCCTGCAGCACCTCTACGCCCTGCCCAGCCTCTCCCGCCTCGTGCTCTACTGCACGCCAGTGGGTTGGGAGGAAGGCGACGAGGCAGTGTCTCTGGAGGGCATTGGCGCAGCCAGCCGTCTTGACACGCTCATACTGGACCATACAGGCGTGACCGACTCTGATCTGGAGCCCCTCACTGCGCTCACCTCACTCACAAACCTCTCCCTGAGCAACTGCCACAACCTCACCCCGGCTCTCCTGACCCATGTGGGCCGGCTGACTGGGCTAGAAGAACTATCCCTGAGCGGCTGTGACATGGGGGACGAAGTGCTGCCGCTGCTCACCTGCCTGCCGCACCTTAGCATGCTCACCGCACCTCCTGGGGTCACTGATGCGGGTCTGCAGCACTTGGCTGCACTGCCATCCCTGCGGAGGCTGTCGCTGTGTGGCTGTCAGGACGTCAGCTCTGCTGGCATGCTGCATGTGGGGCGCCTCACCAGCCTCACCTGCCTCTTTCTGCCCAACACCCGCGTGACGGACCAAGGCCTGCAGCACCTCACTGCGCTCACCAACCTCCTCACGCTCATACTGCCCTCTGGGGTGACAGACGCTGGCATGGTGCATGTGGGGCAGCTCACGGGGCTGTGGATGCTGAGGCTGACGCACAGGGCGGTGGGGTGGCATGGGCTGCAGCAGCTGACGCCGCTCACGCGCCTGTGGTCGCTGGACCTGCCTGATGGCACCACCATGGACCATGATGCTCTGCTCACACGCTTGGCCTTGGAGGGCAGGAAGATGGGAGGCTAGGACGGTGGGAAGGGGGATTGGGTGAGGGAGCAGGAGAGGCGAGGGCATGGTCGATGTGAACATCAGGTGGTGTATTTGCCGTGCGACGATGCGCGACAGGGTGTCACTGGTTCTTCAGCAATGTGTCATCGCTCCTGGTTCTTTGATGTAATATTTATCGTATGGCTACAATATATCCTCCGTATAGTAGACCGTGGGTGCATACTACAAGGCATGCTAATAACTGGGGTGGTACACCATTTTGTATCAATTTATGTGTACCTGGTATATTTATTCAGGGGATAGTTCAATGAAGCACATGGGTTTTGCTGTAACAAAACGAAAAGATTGGGGGTTGTGGTCATTCTCCCAATCTCACGACACCATCGCTCAAAACCGTACCCAAACGCAAAGTAATATAAACGAGCCGCTCTGACACGCGAGCATATCATACCACCCCAAGGAAGTGAGCTCATTTGACACACCACCCCTACGCTCTGATTTTACTCCAAGGATACTCACGACCGTTGCCTCACGCCATCGCAGCGCCAAAGCCACCTCGCGTCGGCGCAACGCGCAACCACACCAATCACCTCACCCCGCCGCACACTGGCCCCTGTCGAGTCAATTTTTTCAGACGTTTTGAAGCCTCCTGGGTCCCCTAGCGCATAGGTGTTCCAAATATCATCCCTCGCGGTATTGAAGGTCCAGTCGGGCCCGCTGCTCTGCCGGACCTCCAGTCGCCGCGCGGCTTCGAAGCGTCTCGTTCGTTACGAGAGATCGGGTTGGGCTCATAGGTACGGCCGTGGCTAGCTCAGTGGCGTTGCAAGCACATACGGCGCGCACCCACACACGCGTGCAGCGTGCATGAACCGCTGCCCGTTGCATCATCTGCGCGTATTGCCCGTTGCCTGTTGTTCCTCCTGCTCGCTCCCGCCGAGCTGCCACTCGGCGTTGCCCTCGTTCCACTACTCCCCCCTTCTTTGAAGGTCCTTGTAGCGAATGAGGTCCTTGTAGCGAATGAGATGCTTGTAGCGAATGAGGTGCTTGTAGCGAATGAGATGCTTGTAGCGAATGAGGTGCGATGCGTTTGTTGCGGTACGCTGCATGTGTGATTCGCCCTCGACGACCCTTCTAGCACAGCTCATAGTCTCACTCCCCCTGCTCCTCCCGCTCTGCTCTCGCGTCAAGTCACGCTCCATTTTCCTGATACTTCTTCCCCAGCTCACCATGCACGGCCTTTCTCGTCCTCTACCGCCCTCTTGCTCCCCCCTTCTCCTCGTCTCCAAGCGCGTATCAGTAGCTTCTTCACCCCTCCCCCTCTGTCCTCCCCACCGCCCCCTGCTCTACCAGTGCCGACTCCTCTACCACGTGGCACGGCCCTTGACGTGAGCACGAGCACCCACCGGGACGGAGAAGCAGCAAGCGGGAGGGGCATGGCAGCAATGGGGAAGCGTGCGCGCGAGGAGGCGTGCGCAGCGGGCGAGGCAGCGATGAGGGCGCTGCAGGAAGTGAGGAGCGAGGTGGCCGCGCTGCAGCGGGAGGTGGCAGCCGTGCGGGAGGAGGCGGCAGAGCAGAGGAGGGACGTGCAGCGGGTGAGGGGCGAGGTGGAGGAGATGAAGAGGGAGCTGGCGGCGGTGAAGGGGGTGATTGCCAGCGACCAGGACGAGAGCCGCGAAATGTGGCACGTGAGTGCATGCTTGCATATTCTGCCAGCATATTCCGTGACGCCCTCCTCTTTCACCTCTTACCCTGCGTTCCCTCTTACCCTGCGTTCCCTCTTACCCTAAATTCCCCTCTCCGCACACTCCCTCTCCGCACTTCCCTCTCCGCAGAAGATCCTGGCAGCATCGCAGGAGGCGGAGCTAGAGCTGTGTGGGGAGGCATCGCTGACAGACGCAGTGCTGGCACACGTGGCCGGCATGACCCGCCTCTCCACCCTCGACCTCTCCAACTCCTCCGGCTTCACCACACATGGCCTGCAGCACCTCTACGCTATGCCCAGCCTCACCAGCCTCATTCTCTACGGCACACCAGTGGGTGGCGGGGGTGACGAGGCAGTATCTCTCGATGGCATCGGTGCAGCGAGCAGTCTCGACTCGCTCGTGTTGGACAACACGAGTGTGCGCGACGGCGATTTGGAGCCGCTCACTGCGCTCACCTCACTCTCAGACCTCTCCCTGGATTGCTGTTACAACCTCACCCCGGCTCTCATGCTGCACGTGGCCCGGTTGACAGGGCTGGAAGAACTATCCCTGGGCGGATGTGACATGGGGGACGAAGTGCTGCCGCTGCTGACCTGCCTGCGCCACCTCTGCTCTTTCACCGCGCCGCGTGGGGTCACTGATGCCGGCCTGCAGCACTTGCTCGCGCTGCCGTCCCTGCAGAGGCTTTCGCTGTGTGACTGCCTTGGTGTCACCTCTGCTGGCATGCTGCATGTGGGCCGCCTCACCAGCCTGCGGGCCCTCTCTCTTCCTAGCACCCGCGTGACAAACGAAGGCCTGCAGCACCTCACCGCGCTCACTGACCTTGTGTCATTGGTGTTGCCGCCTGGGGTGACAGACGCCGGCATGGTGCATGTGGGGCGGCTCACGGGGCTGCAGGTGCTGAGTGTGTATCACACGACAGTGGGGGAGTACGGGCTGCAGCACCTCACGGCACTAACGCAGCTGGAGTCGCTTGACCTGGCTGATGACACCACCATTGACCGCCACGAGCTGCTCACGCGCTTGGGCTGGCAGGACAACAAGAGAGGAGGCTAGTGGGGAGGAGCATGGATGAAGAGGCAAGACAAGCCGTGGCCTGTGCCGCGAACATCAGGTGTGGCTGTCGTGTGATTTGTTGATCTAAAAAGGGTTAGTTTTATGGTATTTCCGAGGAGTACAAACAGTGTCAGCTTTAAGCTGTTCTCTATATTCTGGTACACCTGTATTTATCCGATAAAAGACCCAGGGGAGGACAGGGGACTTTCTAAGCATTTGTCTAAGGGTACATTCCTGGAGCCCGTCACAAAAGACTCGCGTCTCAAACAACTAGATACAGTGCAGTGGAAATGTTAGATACTTGGGTGTAATGCGGTGCAAAGCGGTACACTGCTTTTGTGATACCTAAACCGTTGACATGTCTTCGCAGGAATGTACCCTAAAAGACCCCTGAACAACTACCGTATTTGAAACTGTACTGTATATATCATGTTTTCCATACAGTAGAACTGTTTTTGTTGGACGGTATTCCTGGCCGCCTTCATGATGGTAAGGTATGCTGACTTTTAGGGTGTTCTGCGTGAGGGAGCGCAGTAGTTTTATTGGAATCGGTGCCACTTTTTTATTCGAATTTAATATACACACTCTCCAATCCGAGCACTATTGTAGTTCGGTAGGCAGACCTTAGTTCCTGGTGTCATCTTGTCTACACATTCATACCCATTGATTTTCCGGTAGCACCCCTTGATGCCATGGAAATGCTGCACGTGGACACTACTGCAGTTGTCAGTGGGCATGAAGTAGTACTGGTTGTCTGTTGGACAGCTCCCTATCGCAAATGACGTTGAGCTCTTGGTGCAAATCTGCATTTACAGGGGTGGTGGTGGGGGGGGGGGGGGGGGGGGGGGGGGGGGGGGGGGGGGGGGGGGGGGGTGGTGGTCGGGAAACACAGAAATTTGTCATTAGAATGTGCCAATGATGCAAACATCCAATGTGACATGTGACAAAAGGCAGCAGCACTGGGCCGGCGTGCTCCAACGTGCAGCAGCATACCTCGCGTTCAAGGGGCCACTGGAAGCTGTCGTCCTTGGCTGGGATGAGCTGGTTGCAGTTGATGCCAGGGTTGAGTCGGTACAGCTCCTTGGCGCCCAGAGGAGGCGCCGCCGAGTCCATGATGCTCTCACACGTGTCGCTTGCCCGCGGCCGGTAGTACTCGTCACACACGGGAATGCGATTGGCCTTGGCGGGGTCCCTCTCGAGGCACACGGCCTGGGAGGGGCTGAGGGAGGAGCAGTTGACAGCGGGGTTGAGCGCCTGAAATGCCGCCTCACACTCCGCATCCGACGCCGCCGCCCCACACAGCTCCACCTGCCGCGCCACCCCCGTGCACGTGTCGCCCTGGGGGGTACGGGGGGAGAAAGAGGCGTGTAAGGAGAAGGAAAGAGGTGTGCAAGGAAGGAAAGAGGTGTGCAAGGAAGGAAAGAGGTGTGCAAGGAAGGAAAGAGGTGTGTAAGGAAGGAAAGAGGTGTGTAAGGAAGGAAAGAGGTGTGTAAGGAAGGAAAGAGGTGTGCAAGGAATGAAAGAGGTGTGTAAGGAAGGAAAGAGGTGTGTAAGGAAGGAAAGAGGTGTGCAAGGAAGGAAAGAGGTGTGTAAGGAAGGAAAGAGGTGTGTAAGGAAGGAAAGAGGTGTGCAAGGAAGGAAAGAGGTGTGTAAGGAAGGAAAGAGGTGTGTAAGGAAGGAAAGAGGTGTGTAAGGAAGGAAAAAGGCACATACGCGCATGTTGCAGCTTGTAGAAGCTCCATTGTTGTACAGGATGAATTAGAAAATCTAGGGAAAAAAACAGAAGGGTGCCTGTGACTGCACAGACCGCACCAGGTAGGCAGCAGTACGAGAGTTCCAAGAGGGGGGCAGATAGAGAGAGAAGCGCGTACAGCATTGGTGCTGTAGAAGACGCTGCAGACCTTGATGTTGAACACCACCGACAGCGTCTTGCCGATGGGCAGAGGCTTGGCGCATGACACCCCCTGCACATGCAGCACCGCGTGCAATAAGAGTCACAGGAGAGATCTGGAAAGTCGATAGAACAAAGTGGTGGTGGGATGAACCCACCCGCTAGTACAGGGTGGAGAAGCTCCCTCCCCTCACACTCCCTCTCCGCACATCCCTCTCCGCACATCCCTCTCCGCACATCCCTCTCCGCACACTCCCTCTCCGCACACTCCCTCTCCGCACACTCCCTCTCCGCACACTCCCTCTCCGCACACTCCCTCTCCGCACACTCCCTCTCCGCACATCCCTCTCCGCACATCCCTCTCCGCACACTCCCTCTCCGCACATCCCTCTCCGCACATCCCTCTCCGCACACTCCCTCTCCGCACACTCCCTCTCCGCACACTCCCTCTCCGCACACTCCCTCTCCGCACACTCCCTCTCCGCACACTCCCTCTCCGCACACTCCCTCTCCGCACATCCCTCTCCGCACAATCCCTCTCCGCACACTCCCTCTCCGCACATCCCTCTCCGCACACTCCCTCTCCGCACATTCCCTCTCCGCACACTCCCTCTCCGCACACTCCCTCTCCGCACACTCCCTCTCCGCACACTCCCTCTCCGCACACTCCCTCTCCGCACACTCCCTCTCCGCACATTCCTCGCCGCAGAAGATCCTGGCAGCATCGCAGGAGACGGAGCTAGAGCTGTGTGGGGAGGCATCGCTGACAGACGCAGTGCTGGCACACGTGGCCGGCATGACCCGCCTCTCCACCCTCGACCTCTCCAACTCCTCCGGCTTCACCACCCAGGGCCTTCAGCACCTCTACGCCCTGCCCAGCCTCACCTTCCTTGTTCTCTGCGGCACACCAGTGGGCGATGGGGCTGTATCTCTCGATGGCATTGGTGCAGCGAGCGGTCTCGAGACGCTCGTACTGGACAACACGTGTGTGCGCGACTCTGATCTGGAGCCCCTCACTGCACTCACCTCACTCACTCACCTCTCCCTGGGGCACTGTTACAACCTGACCCCGGCTCTCTTGGCCCATGTGGGCCGGCTGACTGTACTGGAAGAACTATCCCTCAGCGGCTGTGACATGGGAGATGATGTGCTGCCGCAGCTGACTTGCCTGCCGCACCTCAGCTCGCTCGCCATGCCCAGTGGGGTCACTGATGCCGGCCTCATGCACCTGGCCGCACTGCCGCCACTGCAGCAGCTGTCGCTGTGTGGCTGTCAGGACGTCTCCTCTGCTGGCATGCTACATGTGGGCCGCCTTACCAGCCTGCGGGCCCTCTCTCTCCCCAGCACCCGCGTGACAAACGAAGGCCTGCAGCACCTCACCGCGCTCACTGACCTTGTGTCATTGGTGTTGCCGCCTGGGGTGACAGACGCCGGCATGGTGCATGTGGGGCGGCTCACGGGGCTGCAGGTGCTGAGTGTGTATCACACGACAGTGGGGGAGTACGGGCTGCAGCACCTCACGGCACTAACGCAGCTGGAGTCGCTTGACCTGCCTGATGACACCACTATTGATCGTGACGAGCTGCTCACACGCTTGGGCTGGCATGACAACAAGAGGGGAGGCTAGTGGGGAGGAGCATGGAGTGAGGGAGCAAGAGAGGCCAAGCCATGGTCGATGTGAACGACTGGTGTATCTGTCGTATGTGAGATTTTGATGCGCCAGGGGGTGTTACAGGTCCTGTTAGGCAAGGTAACGTCACGGTTTTTTAAATTGTGGTATAAGGGTTTGAGGTTTAGGGTACGCTAAAGAAAGGGTACATAGCTCTAGAGAGGGCCTACGGAGCCAGCATTTCTTTGCTGCCGACTTCTTATAATCACCTTGTCCCTCTTTGCAGGAATGTTGTGCTGTTTCATGTTACGGTAAAATAACCTGGTTCTGGCAATAAATAATCTGATTCGATGGTGGAAAATTCTTGTCAACGAAAAGCGTTCACTTGAATGATATGGTGAATAGCTACTTGTCTTTTCCCATTATTGTTCGTGTGTGTTATGAATGAACTTGTCAGAGTGCGCAGATATCGAATAACGAGAATGAACTGATTACTGAATGACTGAACAATGAACTAGCGAGGCCTAAATAGGGGAAATCCTAGCTAGGCGGGGATGGTGTGGTAGGTTTGGTTCGCGAAGTGTCGCGATTGGTGCGGAGGCGGCTCGGTGAGGTTGGGATGCGAAATTGTAGGCCGAACCAGAGGCTCGCGTGGCCCTCGGGATGGCCCCGCTATGGAGCGCCTCAGTAAGGATTTGTAAATCCTTACACTCTCCCACCTCCTAAATAAGGCAGCCCCGTACCGAAATGGGTCCCACAGTAGTGAGGATGCCGTCGATCTTCACTTCAGCTGAATCCGACGGCTGAAATGCCTCAGACAATATTGTTGAAAAGGTTGGAATGTCGGCCGTTGATGTTGTCAGATTTCGATCTGACGGATGAGGATGAACTGGCCCAGAATGAAGTGACAGTTGGAATGTGGGCCGTTGATCGAGCTTGTGCGAATCTGACGGTCGAAGCAGATGCGTGTTTTGGAAGGAACCTGCTGACGCGAATTCAAACGCGATTGAGCAGGAACCGTAGATCGTGTCGGTGTGATCGCGGTCGTCCGTCGTGCTGACGCAACCTGACAAAGTCAGAAAGGACCGAGAAAACGCCAAGGAAAGAACAGTGCGAAGCACTTTCTCCCCCACTCCAAGAAAAGCCACCAGAAAAATTCCAGCAGCTGCACCGAGATGAAAACAAACAAAACCATGTGTTAAGTCCCGTGAAAACGAACGTCGAACGTAGAAGTCCAAGTGAAAACTGCGTCGGTGTGGAAATGTCGACGGCGAAACCAGGTGTTAAGTGCCCCAAAAATTTCAAGGGCGAACCAGCAAAAGTAGACCAGAAACTCCGTTGAAAATTCGTCGTTGCTCGAACTGAACCTGTGCTGTCGTCTTCTGCCAGAATCCTGCAGTATCTTCGGCAGTTGCAGTTGGCAGCACCTGACGTGGCTGAAATTAAATCCGTTTGTCCTGGGCGGGTCGATTGCGAGTTGTTGGCAGTAGAGTTGGGATGGAATCTCCGAAACATTTGTCGTAATGCGCCGAGAGTTCGTGGACAGGGATGAAAACTTGCAGCTGTCTGCCCCCCCCCGTCACTGTTGCTGCCGCCTTCTCCAGTTCGTCGTAAGTCGTTCGTACCCCTTGGAAACTCCGTGTAAATCTCGCGCTGTTGCCGCGATATTGCCCTGCGTCGTTCTTACGCGTGTTTAACCAAACTCCGAAAACCCCACGAAATTGTCTGCGCTTCCCGCCGTAGTCCGGTAAGTCCCTTCGTAAAACTCCGAAAATGTAGCTCGAAAACAACCCCGTAAAATTCGCCGTTGCAGTTGCAGTTCGCCTCCGAAAATCTCGGACGTGCTATAGCCGCCCACCCGGTCACCATCAGTTTCCTTCGGTTTACCCGACCCCAGCATGTGGGTTAAATCGAGAACCGGGGACTGCCCTGGGTCTTCCGAGACCGAATTTCACGGAACCTAGAGGCATCAACGCCGTTGACCTCCGTAGTCGAAGCTGCTCCCGCCGATGTCGTTTAACTGAAAACCACGCAAACTCCCACTGGCGCTTTGCGATGTTTCACCTCATCGCGCGTCACCGGCAGGTAAATCCCGAAGCCTCGGCTGCTCCCACGCTCCCTGAAGAATTTCCCGCGGTGTACGTTTAAACACCCGTGGGTCCTAGGTATCAACCGCACTCCAAGAAACGAAGAAAACACCCTCAGCTTCAACTCCCCCCCTTTTTTTTTTTTTTTGTAAGAAGATAACCCCGAAAATCGTGGTTGAGGCTGCAGTCCCGAAGTTATTCTCCGCCGTATAGCCCCGACGTTTCCGCCGTTTTTTCCCTGGTACTCCGATGTTCACCCATCTTCGTACCCGCCGGAACTACTTAGCGAATCCCAGGTATCCTTGGCAATGTACCGCTCGCCGCGCCTCCATGTAACGATATCAAACCCTTTCGGGGGTCTACCGAATAGACTCCGAAATTCGCGGTAGATTGGTGCACGGGCTCAACCTATCACTCAAGTGATCTGCTGGATCACCCACAACTTTCCCTTCCGTCATCAATTTTTTCGTATTCACCCCCCGACAATTCCGCTTCCCGCCGTTCACCCAGCGTCCGCTTTTGTCGGATGGGGTATCGTCGTTGTTGCCCACGCGAACTCGGCCACGGTGGAGAGGCAAAAACTATCGGAGTCGGGGCAGCCTTAGTTAAAAGGAAACTGTCGCCCAACCGTTTTGCAGCCCGCCGTGCCTATCGCGCCACAAATTTCCACAGCTTCCCGGTCTCAGCTTCGCCGCTGCGCCGTCAATTCGTGTAGACGCCCGGGTCAGGAGAAACCTGTAGACTGCACCATGTTGTCCCCGCAGCTCCCCGACTTTTTCGCGTGCCGTTCACCCAGCCCGCTTTTGTCGGAGTAAAACAGTGCCGCGAGCTCCACTTTTTTTTGTCTTTTTCTTGTACAGCTGTAGAACGGGCACCAATCCCGGTACCTTTAACCAGCGCAGGGTAGGCCACGTGTTCACCCCCGTTATTCGGCCAAGTAAGTTGACTGCATGAGTCAGAACTAAAACTTGGTGGGGATGGTGAGGTTCGGGCGAAGTAGGGCCGCAGATCGATTCCACCGGCTTTTAATCTGCCCCCGCAACGTTCTTCAACCCCCGCTTAGCCGTTGGGCCGTTTCTTCTCGCGTGTCCCGGCAGCCTGTACCGACCCCTCCGAAATTATCGGGCGGTACCTTGGACACCGTTTAACCGTGGGTTGTCAGCAGCTGTCCCCGAAAACAACGTCCTTGGTCAGGGGAAACTGTTCTCGATACTGCCGGCCAGCTTGCAACAACACCAGGCACGCAGCGTCGCACGAGTTCTTTCGAGGTGTACCTGCCTCGATTCCCCTCGTCGCCTGCGTCCCACTTCTCGTAAGTGCGATTTAGCCACCGCGTTTTCCGTTGCAGCCCGTAAGTGTCAGCAGGTATGAAGTCCCGTCTGTCCACGAGCACTCCTGCCGAATTTGTTGATGACGCGCCCGCCAATGCAGTAAAAGCTGCCGCACTTAACAGGTCGGGCGGGACGGCAGTTAACTCCCGCGAAGTCGGGCAGTCTTGTGTCGTCTCTCCTCGCCACCGACATTTTCGGACGCAAACTCCTTTTGCGCCTGGCGAGTTCCCCAGCCGACGTTTTCTTCAACAGAAGCTCCGAAATTTTCGCCACAGTGACGCACGTTCCTTGTCGCCAGCTGCCGAGCCACACTCCGTGAGTCGCGCGCGCATGATGACGACGAGCCACCGTTGTCACTTGCCGCATGGGACGGACTCCGAAGTTGTCGCGCAGTTGTTGACTCGGGTCCAACGCCGTCAACTGCCACACATCGTGACGACTTCCGAAATCTTCGTGCAGGTGCCGACGCAGATCCGCTGACGCCAGCTGCCTCACAGTTTCGAAATCGTCGTTAAAACCGCAGCGGAAATAGTAACTCACGTTTTAATGTCGCGACAGCTCCAGCTGTCCGTTGCCCGGGGGGAGGGAGGCCACGGTCGATCGCGACCGTTCGAGCTAAGGATCTGGCGGTGCCGAAGGAGTGCCCCGTAAAACCATGGCCGCGAAGAGCAACTAACTAGTTCTCTTGGCCGGCCTACGCAACTCCTGGACCCCAAGGCGTCCCACTCCCTCCGTTGCTCACTCTTCTCACCGCATAGGTTCGACCCTAATTTCCCTTGTGTATACCCTTCCTTTGCCCGCCCCACTGGCTGTGTCTGGCAGCATTCTTGAGACCAACTACCTGAGCGGCACCATCCCCGCCTCTCTGGGGGCTCTCACGAATCTCCTTGACTTGTGAGCAGACTCGTAAACGCGGAATGTGGTAGGCCTGATAGAATCATGAACAGAGTTCCGTGTAGTAGAATCGTAAACGCTTGCATGCGTAGGTTTCAGCAGGAGGGACTCTGTATGGAAATAGAACAAGAGGTTTCACGCCACCGCTTCCCGATTTTGGTCCCCCTTGCTTAAAGGAGACAGAGCCAATGGGTAGTGACGCTGGCTTCCTTGTGGTGTCGGATCACCTGTGATGTGATGTGTGGCTCATGTGCTCTTTTCGTTTCGACCATGTGGTCGATTTCTCGATCGCCTGATTAGAAGTTTGTAGGACTTGAAGCACGGGAAAGATCAGACACACCAGAGCACGAGAGTCAAAGTGTAGCATGCACAAAAGAATGCCCTAGACTGGGAGTGTTCCTGCCTTCCACACGTGTCTCTCAATGATCACCATTTGAATCCTTGATACAACCACGCCCTCCTTTCACCTCCCACTGCCGCTACGTTTCCATGCCATGCGATTGCAGGGAGCTGGCATGGACAGACATCACTGGAAAGTAGCTCTGATACCAGGTGTTATGAATGAACTTGTCAGAGTGCGCAGATATCGAATAACGAGAATGAACTGATTACTGAATGACTGAACAATGAACTAGCGAGGCCTAAATAGGGGAAATCCTAGCTAGGCGGGGATGGTGTGGTAGGTTTGGTTCGCGAAGTGTCGCGATTGGTGCGGAGGCGGCTCGGTGAGGTTGGGATGCGAAATTGTAGGCCGAACCAGAGGCTCGCGTGGCCCTCGGGATGGCCCCGCTATGGAGCGCCTCAGTAAGGATTTGTAAATCCTTACAGTGTGAACACTTGCAACGTTACCGAAGAAATGCAATTCCCGTTTCCTTCCGGAGTCGAGAATATCTTCCCTCGGATCCCCGCTGGAGTCAACATTAGTCACGAGGCCCTGCCAGCGAGGCAAAGCGACACGCGGGGGCGAACAAGCCCAACGGTCTCCCATTCGGTGGTGGGCACTGTAGATGGCAAGCTCACGATGCGCTGTCACACATAACCTACCCCCCCTTCGCCCTCCCCTAATACCCACCATTGTGCTTCCTTTCTCAACACGATGCACCTCCTTAGCACGGCCCTAGTAGTAACTCTGCGGTACGTCCGTTCCGACTATCCTCTGTTCCGTCACCCATCCTTGCGCGATAAATGACGAGCGACTGGTTTCTGAGCGTAACACATGAAGGTGCGTCGTGAAGTAGTAAGATTCACGCAGCGACGGTCGTTGAAAGCTGTGAACGACGGTCTGTGAACGCAGTGGGAGGAAAACGAGCGCGAGAGACCATGCTAGCACTCGAACGAGTCTGAAGCTGAGGTTGCGCACAGAGCGCACGCCGTGCGGCAGGCCTGACGGCGTGACGTGATGGCCGCAGCTGCTGCGGCGGCGGTCGGGGAGCCCGCTGGGCGTGACGAGGTGGCTTTAAGTCGACTTCGAAGTCACCTCGCCGGGCGTGACGCGTTTCCGCGTGTCGCAGACGTTGCGCGGGAGTGCATCGTCGCACAGTTCATCGTCACACAGTTCATCGTCGCACAGTCCATCGTCGCACATTATATCAAACGCACAGCCTGCATCGTCGCAAGCATATCGCAGAGTTGCATCATCGCAGTCTCCTCTGCACTCCCGCCCTGCTCTGCCTGCTCTGTCTTCCCCTCCCCTCTCCCCCTGCCATCAACTCCCCTTCCCCTTCCCCGTCCCCTTCCCCGTCCCCTTCCCCTTCCCCGTCCCCTTTCCCGTCCCCTTCCCCTTCCCCGTCCCCTTCCCCGTCCCCTTCCCCTTCCCCTTCCCCTTCCCCTTCCCCTTCCCCTTCCCCTCCATCCCTCCTGCCGCCCTTCCCAACCGCAGACCCATCTCGTGCTTCCCCTGCTCCCTCTGCTGCTGCTCACCTGCTACTGCCCGCACTGCGCGCTCGTGGCGGCGCGGCGAATACAGGCGGCAGACTGTGAGTGCGCCTGGGCGGACGGTGGTGGGGCGGTATGGGGCGGAACGGGGCGGTATGGGGCGGAACGGGGCGGTATGGGGCGGAACGGGGCGGTATGGGGCGGAACGGGGCGGTATGGGGCGGAACGGGGGGGTATGGGGCGGAACGGGGCGGTATGGGGCGGAACGGGGCGGTATGGGGCGGAACGGGGCGGTATGGGGCGGAACGGTGGGGTATGGGGCGGAACGGGGCGGTATGTGCAGCTGTGACGGTATGGGAAGGCATGGGGCGGTGGGGCGGTGGCTGGAAAGGAGTGATGCGGGCTTTTTCCTCCCCAGAATCTACTGTGACTCTCTCGCTCCGTCCCTCAAAGCCGCTCTCGCTTGTCCTGCAAAGGTCATTCACACGCCTCGGCCCCCCTTCCCCCCTACCATCTCACCTGCTCGTCTCTTCCTCCCTTCCTTCCCCTCCCTCCACTCCGTTCCCCTCTCCAATCCCCCACACCCTTCCCCAACGATCCGCACCGCGCTCATCTACCACACAGCCCTCGTCCCGCCTCGCCCCTGCTCTCCCACGTGGAATCGTCCCCCGGTCCCCCTCCCCCCCTGTGCGCGCAGTCAAGGTGTTATCGGCGCTGCTGGCAGCGTGGGGCCCGTTTGAGGACGGCAAGTCGTGGTCGCCCAACAGCGACTGCTCCACCGTGCAGGGCGTCACATGCGACCAAGATGGCTACGTCGTCTCCCTGTCAGTGCTCCCATGCACCCATGCGCGCATGCACCCATGCACCCATGCGCGCATGCGATGCGCCCATGTTACTGGTCCTTCCCGCATGACATGAGAATTCTCAAGATGATTTCCACACGCTCATCAACTTTTAGCGTCGCCGCATGCGTCGCGCACAGCATCGTGCTTTCTCTGTGCCATGCCATGCCATGCGTTGAGCAGTACTGCACCATCACAGCTGCGGCAGCGCACTTCGAAGAAAACGAGCTTGCTTCCCCCCTCCTCTCCCTCCCCCCCTTCTCCCCATGGCCCGCGGCGCTCCCCTTTAGGGCCACGTCAGGCAACGCGTTTTGGAAGCCCATTCCCGACGCCGTGAGCGGGCTGCAGCACCTCACTTATCTGTGAGTCAGTGGGCTGCAGCACCTCACTTATCTGTGAGTCAGTGGGCTGCAGCACCTCACTTATCTGTGAGTCAGTGGGCTGCAGCACCTCACTCCCTCATGCGTCTCTTGTAATCTGTGCGTCTCTTGAGTTCTGAGCAAGCAATGTCCACACGTTGCTCTGTAACACTATTCCACCCTTCTCCCTCACTCCCTCCTCTCGTCCCCTCCCCGTCCCCTCTCCCCAGTTTCTCCACAAGCGCAGTGTACTTCCCTAAACCCCACACCACCTCGGCCCCGCGTCCTCCCCTCTCACCCCAACCCTCCAACCTCCCCCCCCCCCCCCCACCCCCCCCCCCCGGTGAGGCAGGGCCATCACGTCGAGTCATCTGGTGGGGTCGCTGCCAACAGCCATCTTCAACCTGCCACTGCTGCACGGCATGTGAGTGGTGCTGCACGGCATGTGAGTGGTGCTGCACGGCATGTGAGTGGTGCTGCACGGCATGTGAGTGGTGCTGCACGGCATGTGAGTGGTGCTGCACGGCATGTGAGTGGTGCTGCACGGCATGTGAGTGGTGCTGCTCGGCATGTGAGTGGTGCTGCACGGCATGTGAGTGGTGCTGCACGGCATGTGAGTGTTGCTGCACGGCATGTGAGTGGTGCTGCACGGCATGTGAGTGGTGCTGCACGGCATGTGAGTGGTGCTGCACGGCATGTGAGTGGTGCTGCACGGCATGTGAGTGGTGCTGCACGGCATGTGAGTGGTGCTGCACGGCATGTGAGTGGTGCTGCACGGCATGTGAGTGGTGCTGCACGGCATGTGAGTGGTGCTGCACGGCATGTGAGTGGTGCTGCACGGCATGTGAGTGGTGCTGCACGGCATGTGAGTGGTGCTGCACGGCATGTGAGTGGTGCTGCACGGCATGTGAGTGGTGCTGCACGGCATGTGAGTGGTGCTGCACGGCATGTGAGTGGTGCTGCACGGCATGTGAGTGGTGCTGCACGGCATGTGAGTGGTGCTGCACGGCATGTGAGTGGTGCTGCACGGCATGTGAGTGGTGCTGCACGGCATGTGAGTGGTGCTGCACGGCATGTGAGTGGTGCTGCACGGCATGTGAGTGGTGCTGCACGGCATGTGAGTGGTGCTGCACGGCATGTGAGTGGTGCTGCACGGCATGTGAGTGGTGCTGCACGGCATGTGAGTGGTGCTGCACGGCATGTGAGTGGTGCTGCACGGCATGTGAGTGGTGCTGCACGGCATGTGAGTGGTGCTGCACGGCATGTGAGTGGTGCTGCACGGCATGTGAGTGGTGCTGCACGGCATGTGAGTGGTGCTGCACGGCATGTGAGTGGTGCTGCACGGCATGTGAGTGGTGCTGCACGGCATGTGAGTGGTGCTGCACGGCATGTGAGTGGTGCTGCACGGCATGTGAGTGGTGCTGCACGGCATGTGAGTGGTGCTGCACGGCATGTGAGTGGTGCTGCACGGCATGTGAGTGGTGCTGCACGGCATGTGAGTGGTGCTGCACGGCATGTGAGTGGTGCTGCACGGCATGTGAGTGGTGCTGCACGGCATGTGAGTGGTGCTGCACGGCATGTGAGTGGTGCTGCACGGCATGTGAGTGGTGCTGCACGGCATGTGAGTGGTGCTGCACGGCATGTGAGTGGTGCTGCACGGCATGTGAGTGGTGCTGCACGGCATGTGAGTGGTGCTGCACGGCATGTGAGTGGTGCTGCACGGCATGTGAGTGGTGCTGCACGGCATGTGAGTGGTGCTGCACGGCATGTGAGTGGTGCTGCACGGCATGTGAGTGGTGCTGCTCGGCATGTGAGTGGTGCTGCACGGCATGTGAGTGGTGCTGCACGGCATGTGAGTGTTGCTGCACGGCATGTGAGTGGTGCTGCACGGCATGTGAGTGGTGCTGCACGGCATGTGAGTGGTGCTGCACGGCATGTGAGTGGTGCTGCACGGCATGTGAGTGGTGCTGCACGGCATGTGAGTGGTGCTGCACGGCATGTGAGTGGTGCTGCACGGCATGTGAGTGGTGCTGCACGGCATGTGAGTGGTGCTGCACGGCATGTGAGTGGTGCTGCACGGCATGTGAGTGGTGCTGCACGGCATGTGAGTGGTGCTGCACGGCATGTGAGTGGTGCTGCACGGCATGTGAGTGGTGCTGCACGGCATGTGAGTGGTGCTGCACGGCATGTGAGTGGTGCTGCACGGCATGTGAGTGGTGCTGCACGGCATGTGAGTGGTGCTGCACGGCATGTGAGTGGTGCTGCACGGCATGTGAGTGGTGCTGCACGGCATGTGAGTGGTGCTGCACGGCATGTGAGTGGTGCTGCACGGCATGTGAGTGGTGCTGCACGGCATGTGAGTGGTGCTGCACGGCATGTGAGTGGTGCTGCACGGCATGTGAGTGGTGCTGCACGGCATGTGAGTGGTGCTGCACGGCATGTGAGTGGTGCTGCACGGCATGTGAGTGGTGCTGCACGGCATGTGAGTGGTGCTGCACGGCATGTGAGTGGTGCTGCACGGCATGTGAGTGGTGCTGCACGGCATGTGAGTGGTGCTGCACGGCATGTGAGTGGTGCTGCACGGCATGTGAGTGGTGCTGCACGGCATGTGAGTGGTGCTGCACGGCATGTGAGTGGTGCTGCACGGCATGTGAGTGGTGCTGCACGGCATGTGAGTGGTGCTGCACGGCATGTGAGTGGTGCTGCACGGCATGTGAGTGGTGCTGCACGGCATGTGAGTGGTGCTGCACGGCATGTGAGTGGTGCTGCACGGCATGTGAGTGGTGCTGCACGGCATGTGAGTGGTGCTGCACGGCATGTGAGTGGTGCTGCACGGCATGTGAGTGGTGCTGCACGGCATGTGAGTGGTGCTGCACGGCATGTGAGTGGTGCTGCACGGCATGTGAGTGGTGCTGCACGGCATGTGAGTGGTGCTGCACGGCATGTGAGTGGTGCTGCACGGCATGTGAGTGGTGCTGCACGGCATGTGAGTGGTGCTGCACGGCATGTGAGTGGTGCTGCACGGCATGTGAGTGGTGCTGCACGGCATGTGAGTGGTGCTGCACGGCATGTGAGTGGTGCTGCACGGCATGTGAGTGGTGCTGCACGGCATGTGAGTGGTGCTGCACGGCATGTGAGTGGTGCTGCACGGCATGTGAGTGGTGCTGCACGGCATGTGAGTGGTGCTGCACGGCATGTGAGTGGTGCTGCACGGCATGTGAGTGGTGCTGCACGGCATGTGAGTGGTGCTGCACGGCATGTGAGTGGTGCTGCACGGCATGTGAGTGGTGCTGCACGGCATGTGAGTGGTGCTGCACGGCATGTGAGTGGTGCTGCACGGCATGTGAGTGGTGCTGCACGGCATGTGAGTGGTGCTGCACGGCATGTGAGTGGTGCTGCACGGCATGTGAGTGGTGCTGCACGGCATGTGAGTGGTGCTGCACGGCATGTGAGTGGTGCTGCACGGCATGTGAGTGGTGCTGCACGGCATGTGAGTGGTGCTGCACGGCATGTGAGTGGTGCTGCACGGCATGTGAGTGGTGCTGCACGGCATGTGAGTGGTGCTGCACGGCATGTGAGTGGTGCTGCACGGCATGTGAGTGGTGCTGCACGGCATGTGAGTGGTGCTGCACGGCATGTGAGTGGTGCTGCACGGCATGTGAGTGGTGCTGCACGGCATGTGAGTGGTGCTGCACGGCATGTGAGTGGTGCTGCACGGCATGTGAGTGGTGCTGCACGGCATGTGAGTGGTGCTGCACGGCATGTGAGTGGTGCTGCACGGCATGTGGGGTCAATGAGTGAGAGAGGTGTGAGTTGCGATGAGGGCGGATGTGAAGGCGACAGGTGGGAGTGCTGTCATGTCATGTGTGTGCATGCAGTGCCCGCTGTAGCTTCAGATAGAACTCACCCACTCCTATCAGTATCTACTATCCTCCATAACTCCCATCCATCCCTATTCCCACCCCCCATCTGTAATCTATCCGCACCTCTGTCTTCCTCTCCCAACCCAACAGTAGCTCTTTCTCTATATCCCTGTTCATCCTTTTTCCCCTCCGCCCTTCCCATGCGTCCATCCATCCCATCCATGCCCCCCCCCATCCACCCCCATCCACTCCCATCCACCCCCATCCACCCCCATCCACTCCCATCCAACCCCATCCATCCACATGTGTGCGCGGTGCAAGCAGCAAGCTGACAGTGAACCATCTCAACGGCTCCATACCGGATGACATCAGCAAGCTCACAGCCCTCACCTACCTGTCAGTACCACCCCTGCCCCACGTACCTGGTCCATCCCACGGCCCTTGACGCTGGCTCTATTTCATCGCATGAGATCACATCACATGCCAGGTACGCCCCTGATCTCCCCCTCTCTCACCTCCCCACGCAGCCACCTGTTGCTGCACCACCCGTCAAACCCATCTGCTATGCCATACCTCTGCGTCTGCCCCCTGCTCCTGATCTCCCACTCCCACCCTTCTGTTGCAGGTACCTGGCACAGAACCGCCTGAGTGGCTCGCTGCCCGAGTCCCTGTCGCACCTCACGCAGCTCGTCTCACTGTAATGCACGCCTTGCATTGCACTCACACGTGGGCAGGCCCATGGGTGTCACTGGGTAGAAGAGGAGGAGAGGGGTGGTGTCTGCGTGTCCTGGCATGGGCCATGACTCTTGATGAGTGTATGGATGGATGTGGAAAGATGAATAAGAGTGCGTTTTTGCGGTGCAGTGTGGATTGGATTGGACTATGCACACAGGGCATCGTGTGCGTCATGCATGCATGTGATGTAGGCAGGTCTCCACTCACTCAACTCAGCAGTGCACGATGCAAGAATATTGGATCATGCGTTCACCACACTTATCCCATGCATGTCGCTTTCCTTGGTCGTTCGTACCACCCAGCAGCAGGGCACATAATGCATTCCCTGTGCTGCATTCCCTGTGCTGCATTCCCTGTGCTGCATTCCCTGTGCTGCATTCCCTGTGCTGCATTCCCTGTGCTGCATTCCCTGTGCTGCATTCCCTGTGCTGCATTCCCTGTGCTGCATTCCCTGTGCTGCATTCCCTGTGCTGCATTCCCTGTGCTGCATTCCCTGTGCTGCATTCCCTGTGCTGCATTCCCTGTGCTGCATTCCCTGTGCTGCTCTGCCTGTGCTGCCACGTGCAGGAATCTTGGGGTGAACGGGTTCACGGGGAGCATCCCATCGGCCTTGAGCACCATGTCAAACCTCGACCTCCTGTCAGCCACCTTACTGCCTCCCTCGCCCTGCTCACACACCTGCCACTGCGCGCATCCTTCACTCACTGCACCGGCACGCATCCTTCATTCACTCACTCATAGTGCTATGCATCGTCTCGTTTTGCCACGCCATGCCACGCTACGGCAGTCCTCACTGCACGCCTGGCAAGCTATCCCCGCCGTGGTGGTGATGTGATGTGATGTGATGCCAGGAGACCATCATTTGGCTTCGCGACCGCAACCATATCCCAGATGCGCCTAGGCTTTTGTGGATGCATGTCAAGTTGATTGAGAAAGAAGTCAGAGAGGCGATTGACTCGGCGCACTGACCACAAGATACTTATTCTTGCATGCTTCTGCCCGTGCTCTGCTCCCCCCTCTGCTCCCCGCTCTGCCATGCAGCAACCTGCACAATAACTACTTCGAAGGCGCCGTTCCTGATTGGCTCTCCACAATCCCAAGCCTCATGAACATGTGTGCAGTCACGAGCATGTGTTGTCACGAGCATGTGTTGTCACGAGCATGTGTTGTCACTGGCATGTGTTGTCACGCGCATGCGTGCAGTCACACACATGCGTTCAGCTACTTTTGTTTCAACCTTACTCCTGGTTCGAACCGTTCTAATGCTTCAAATCGTGATCTTGATTTGAACAGCACTCACCCATTACTGACTATAACGTTACTGAAATATACTGGTCACACCCTTTCCCCTCTCCTCGCATGTACCCCTTGTTGGCAGCGACATGCAGCAAAACGCATTGAACGGCACCATTCCTGCGTCTCTCGGTCGTATGACACAACTCACCAAGCTGTATGCTTCTCCCCTGCCTCTCTGCTTCCTCCCACTCGGTCTCTCCTCGTCCTCCCTGTTCAGCAGCAGCTGCTTTCCATCCACCTACCCATGGCTTGATACTGCTCTTTCATTGTTCCTGCTTGCCTGCCTGCAGCAGCCTAGGGGTGAACTTCATTGAAGGGTCAATTCCGGAAGAGCTAGGCAACCTGCTCAACTTGCAGACGCTGTGAGTTGCAGGGAACCCCACTTAAGAGGCATGACTTTGCGTGGCAGCAGCTGTTTAGTTTTTTTTTTTTTTAGTTTTTTTTTAGTTTTTTTTTTTTTTTTTTTTTTTTTTTTTCTTTTCCTTTCCTAGGCAATTTGGAGAACTTGCAGACGCTGTGAGTTGCGGTGAAGTGAACCTTGGCACACTGCTGCATGCGCGAAGCTGAGCTAGTTATGTGCTTGGTGGTAGCGCTGAGCTAGTCATGTTTGCACATGGATTGGGTGCTAAGCACATGGATTGGATAGCAAGTACATGCTCGTAAGGGACTTGATCTGCCTCATTGACCAGCAGGGGCAGGTCTGGTGCTGTGAAGGATTCAATTGGAAAGAAGCAGAGTGTGTGAAGGGTAGTCGCACTCATATTAATCCTCTTCCCACTCCCTCCGTTGCTCACTCTTCTCACCGCATAGGTTCGACCCTAATTTCCCTTGTGTATACCCTTCCTTTGCCCGCCCCACTGGCTGTGTCTGGCAGCATTCTTGAGACCAACTACCTGAGCGGCACCATCCCCGCCTCTCTGGGGGCTCTCACGAATCTCCTTGACTTGTGAGCAGACTCGTAAACGCGCAATGTGGTAGGCCTGATAGAATCATGAACAGAGTTCCGTGTAGTAGAATTGTAAACGCTTGCATGCGTAGGTTTCAGCAGGAGGGACTCTGTATGGAAATAGAACAAGAGGTTTCACGCCACCGCTTCCCGATTTTGGTCCCCCTTGCTTAAAGGAGACAGAGCCAATGGGTAGTGACGCTGGCTTCCTTGTGGTGTCGGATCACCTGTGATGTGATGTGTGGCTCATGTGCTCTTTTCGTTTCGACCATGTGGTCGATTTCTCGATCGCCTGATTAGAAGTTTGTAGGACTTGAAGCACGGGAAAGATCAGACACACCAGAGCACGAGAGTCAAAGTGTAGCATGCACAAAAGAATGCCCTAGACTGGGAGTGTTCCTGCCTTCCACACGTGTCTCTCAATGATCACCATTTGAATCCTTGATACAACCACGCCCTCCTTTCACCTCCCACTGCCGCTACGTTTCCATGCCATGCGATTGCAGGGAGCTGGCATGGACAGACATCACTGGAACCCTGCCCTCCTCTATTGGGACCCTGACTCGCCTTAACATCTTGTGCGGAAGCTGCAACCCATCCGTCTAGCTTCTCTTGTCTAGTGGTTCTTGCCCTACTCCCTGCTGCCTATGAGCTTTCTCACAAACACCGTGCAGGTCCAATCATCCCTCCCTCCCTCTCGTGTACACTTGCATTTTGACTTCTTTTGTATCACATCAATCTCGCCCATGGTAACATTAGCAAAGTAAGCCCATGGGTGATCACAAGTGACGTTACACGGGCGCGTCAAAGAAGAGTATGTGCAGACTCGGCAATAGCATGTGCCCTCCCTCGTTTTCATAACCTTAAAGAACTCCCCTTCATGGCACCAACCAGCAACGGTCCGCCAACGATGGTGGTGATGCACCATGTGCCCCACACCACGCTGCGAGCGCTGCGCAGGTACCTGGAGGGCATGGAGCTCACAGGCACGGTCCCCCGATCCTTCTCCAACCTTCAGAGCCTGGGCTTCTTGTGAGTGCTCTGCTCCCTGGGCCCTGCCTGCTTGCTGTGCTTCTCAGCGTTCCCGCACTTGTTACTCTCGCTTCTGCTCACATCAGTAAACTTTAAACTTCACTCATGCTGCCTCTGCTGCCTTGCACTCCTTGTAGGCCCGGTCAATTCCGCTTGACGGAAAGTGCTTCCCTGCCCTGCACCCCACCCCACCCCACTCCCCGGTATCCAGCTACCTGAACAGGAACCACCTCTCTGGCGATGTGTACGGCATCACAAGCAACATGACCAGGCTGGTCACTCTGTACGTGCATGGGGGCGTTAGGATGTGCCATGTGTGTGCCATGTGCCATGTGTGTGCCATGTGTGTATCTTTCAGAGACTTGTACAATTCCTGTCTCATGCGACAGGCAATCCGTCCAGCCAAGCACTGCATCCCTTCTCTACACCACCCTGTGCCTCTTCCCTCCACACCCCCTCTCACACCCCATTCTCCCACTCCCTCCCCACCTTGGCCCGCCGTGCCCCACCCTCTCAATCACAGTAGGCATGGGCAAATGACCCGACCCGGCCCGACCCGTCCCGTCTAGGGCGACCCGTTACCAAAACGGGTCGGGACGGGTCGGGTCGGCGGGTCGGGTTTGACTCTGTTTTGATGACCCGACCCGCCCCGTAGGCACGGGTATTTGTGACCCGTACCCGGGTCGGTTACACCACGGGTCGGGTCGGGTCGGGTCAAAACTTGCTACAGAGCAGCAGGGTATGGGTGTTAAGTTTGAATTGCTTATGCGGCAATCGCGATCGCGCGTATGTGGGGAACCGATCGCGCATAGGCGGGGCCGCGATCGCGCGTATGCAGAGCCGCGATCGCGCTGCGCAAATGCGGGGAAGCGATCGCGCTATTTCATGGTCGCGATCCCGCCAATGCGTGACGGCGAGCGCGCTGCTGCGCTCCTGGTCGTGCGACGCTGCGAAATGGCGGGAGCGCCTATGCCTAACCTGACTCAGAAGTATATAATAGTGTTAACATTGAGTTCAAGGTTCTAAGAGGCTTGGTAGGCTAGAAACTGGATCTGAATGTCGAGGGGGAAACAAAACATAAGAAACCAACTGACGTTCACCCCCTCTACAAATTGTACCCTAATCAGATCACGGGTCGGGTAACCCTATCATTTGACTAGGTACGCGACCCGGACGGGACGGGTCGACCCGACCCGGCGGGTCGCTAATACCCGTCTAAAAATCACATAGACGGGTCACGGGTCGACCCGACCCGTCCGGGTATACCCGACCCGACCCGGACGGGTCGACATGCTCGGCATGACTGACCCGACCCGCCCAAAAGGGCGGGTCGGGTCGGGTAACCCGACCCGTCCGGGTCAATTGCCCATGCCTAAATCACAGCGACGTGTCGAGCAACCAGTTCATGGGGCGGCTGTTGAGTCGATTCAAATGACCAGCATCACACACATTCTTCCAACCCACCCCCTCACCTCTCACAGCGACGTGTCAAGCAACCAGTTCACGGGGCGGCTGCCATCGCCCCCATCGCCCTACCTGCAGTTCTACTACGCGCACCGCAACTTCTTCTCCTATGGCGCCGTCATCCCGCCCAAGGCCAACCGCACCTTCTTTGGCAACGCCTTTGACAACTGCCTGCTCAACGCCTCCCGGATTCCTGGAGATTACCCCGAGCAGAGGAGTGCAGAGGAGTGTGGTGCGTTCTGTGGGCTTGCTGCTGGGGACACCAAGCCCCTGTGCAGCGGGCATGGCGTGTGCTCCTTCAATGCGTCTGTGCAGGAATCGGCGTGCACCTGTGACAGCAACTTTGACAACCAGGCTGGACCCCACTCCTGCTCCTACAGCGGTACGTATGCGCTGGTTCTGTAAGAGACAGGTGGCCTGATGTATGCAGAAACGGTACCACTTTATGAGACGCAAATGTCACTCTCTTGCAGCATCCTGTTGTGATTGTGATGCATACCCCTCTCGCTCTTCAGGATTGTGTAAGCATCGGCTGCTTTTCGGTTGAAGCCCCTCACACCACAATCTGTAATTTTAGTTTAATTAATCGCCTCATTCTTCTGTTTCGCTTGCATCCGTCTGTCTCGCCTTGCTCCGGATAACCCTGCAGTCCTGCCTTCAACCGAGTCGTCACAGACAACACCAGTGGCCGTGGCAGGAGCAGCAGCGCAGCTGTTCAACGGCACCATCACCCTCACACCGCCCACCACCAACACCTCAGGAGCAGCGGCAGTGCAGACGCCCATCCGCCTCTTCCATTTCATCGACAGCCCTGGCCCCTGCGGCACGCCCTTTGCCTTCAACGCCTCCTTCAGCTTCACCATGAGGCCTGCAACAGCCCAGGACGTTGGGGGAGAGGGCCTGGCGTTTGTTGTGAGTGCGACGGCACCGCAGGGGGCTGGTGCAGCGGGGGTGGGGCTGGGAGGGGTGGGGAGGCGGAGTGTGGCGGTGGAGTTTGACTCGGTGCTGAGTGTGAAGCACAGCGACCCCAACGACAACCACGTGGGCGTCAATGTGGGCGGCTCACCTGTGTCCCTCGCCTCTGCCACGGCCCCTCTCATCCTCAACGACGCCCACACCAAGCACGCCTGGATCCACTACGACCCCACCAGTGGCGGCACCCTCCGAGTCTTCCTCTCCTCCGACCCCCACCAGCCGCTCACCCCCACCCTCCGCGCTCGAGTGTCGCTCTGCTCCATCCTGCAGCCCACTGCTGCAGAGACCAACTTCTTCTTTGGCTTTGCCGCCTCGACAACGGATAAGGCCCAAGAGAATGTCATCTTGAAGTGGGAGGTCGTGACAGGTGCGCATCATGCATGCTGCTCTACGGAGCAAGGTGGGCGCAAGCAATGGGTGTGGTGGTGGGGCTAGCGAATACAAGGTATCGATGAGACTCCTTTTGGCCATCTCAAGGCCACCTGGATGAATGACTCTCAACAATGTAGCACATAGAATGAGACGGATGGGGGTTGGTGCGGTGGTGCATTGGAACAGCACGTGCGTAACAAATGGTACCTTTGGACTCTTTTGGTGAAATGCTCGAGTCGTTTTCGATCTCCCCTCTACCGTATGAAGGTGCTCACTGCGAAAGGGCTGTGCGTTCTCCGCTTGTGCTATGTGCAAGCACAATGTGCAACGTGCATTGCGCAATGCTCTATGTGCAATGCGCCATGTGCCATGTGCAATGCGCTATGTGCCATGTGCTATGTGCAATGTGCCATGTGCTATCTGCACTGTGCGCCTCTCGTCCTCATCAGTCCAGAGCACCTTCCCGTCCCTACTCCCAACCAACTGCAGGTTTGCCTCCTCGACTTCCTCTTAACCCGCAAGGTGAGACTCATCACAGCACGTCCATCACAGCACGTCCATCACAGCACATCCATCACTGGGGCAGCCTAAACTAAATAAAGGGGCAGCCCACCCAACACCTTCGTTGCTTGAGTGTTGCAGCCCAAATGCATGGCTATTCTAATGGTCCACCCTGGGTCTTCCAATCGACGGGTTTTTGCTGACAACTGCACACTTGCAAACATCCTACCAGGCTACCGTCACAAGTAACCGATATCTGTTTCACTTGATGCTTTCACACCCCCTGCACTGCACCACCAGACCTGGCGTTGGGGTTTGTGTTGGACGAGGACTCTTTCTCATCGCAGGGCTTCAACTCCTTCCACTACGCCAGTGCGGGCTTCGAGCCCGCGCAGGACAACAGCCCCTCGTGGAGCATCAAGTCCTACACCATCTGGCGCTTATCTGAGTCCATCTGGCCTGTCAAGAACCAAAGGGGCTGCGGTGAGTTGCATGGGGACAAGTGGATGATTCTCGTGGCTGTGTTATGAACAGCGTGGTTGCCTATCTGAGATGCGCTGATTGGGTGCCTCTGGTTGAAAGAGAAGGATGATCAACGTGTCTAGGCATGAAAGGCGATTAGCAGGTTTGTTGGATGACATTGAAGATTGTGCCATGGATGCCAGCTGGGTAAATAGTAGTAACCATGCTCGACCTACAAGTTTCCGCCTTAACGTGTGGAGACTTTCTTGTGCTCTTTTCCAGCATAATATGTTTCTATATACATATGCATATACATATACATATACGTATACATATACATATACACATACACATACACATACACATACACATACACATACATATACATATACATATACACATACATATACATATACACATACATATACATATATACATATATGTACATAAAGCAACAACGCTAACAACAATCGTCCTTTTCCTGCTTGTGCTGGCAGCTGACTCATGGGCATACGCAGTGGTGGCAGCAGTGGAGGCGGCCTACAGCATTGCCAGCAACTGGACTCAGCCGCCCATCCTCTCAGTGGACCAGCTGCGCCTCGCCCTCTCCTCCAACTGCGACGGTGGCTCGCCCACCAAGGCGCTGCAGTTCCTCCTCAGTGCCAGTGCACAGGGCAAGGGGCTGCTGGAAGAGACAACCTATGCTGCTTCCACCACCAAGGCCATACGCTCTCTAGGACGCAAGGCAGCTGGCAAGGTAAGCATTGTGAACTGCAGGATTATCCAGCAGCAATGTTACGTTCTTCCTGCCTGGCCATCTATCGTCAGACGGACAACCTTGCGTGCAATACGGTGTGGGCTCGCCTTTAACCTCTTTATATTCTCTAACTCTGCTGTTCTGCTAACCCCTTGTGCATGTGCATTTGCCCTGCCGCTTCCTTGCATGCAGCCCGCCGTCAAGTACTATGGCATCCGGGGCATGGAGCGCACGGGGTTCTACGGGTGGTTTGGGCTCATGCTGGCAGTGCAGCGCCAGCCTGTCATCGTGCACATCGAGGCGTCCGCACCCTCCTTCCAAGACTACGATGGGGTAAGGCACCCTCCTTCCAAGACTACGATGGGGTAAGGCACCCTCCTTCCAAGACTACGATGGGGTAAGGCACCCTCCTTCCAAGACTACGAAGGGTTCTGCAAGAGCAAGTGCTGAGCCAAGGCCAGCTGACAACGATCCTGCTCAATCTCTTCTGACCTAATGTGGGCTTGCCCAACATTCGTGAGAGCCCAATGGTGCTGCTCGAGCAGTGTAGCACAGCCCAGCACACGGATATGATGGTCAACGCCTCGAGCACTACACCCGAAGCTTTTGTTGTCTGTGTGTTCGAGTCTGGGGTGCACAACCACGCAGCAGCTGGGAACTCTGCCTCAGAAATGGCTGCCCTAGAGTAGCAGACCGTGGGATTGCATTCCGTCGGTCCTGTGAATCACAATTCTGTTGCATGTTAAACTTGGCTCTTTTTCCCATCAGAGCGACGTGTACGCGGACGAGGGCTGTTTCACGGAGCATGTGAACCACGTGGTGCTGGTGGTGGGTTATCTAGTGGCTGGCATCGACTCTGCTAAGCCCGACCTGCCGCCGCCCTTCTGGATCATCCGCAACTCATGGGGCTCAGCCTGGGGCGACCAGGGCCACATGCGCATGGACATTCGCAACGGCGACGGCATCTGCGGCATCAACACTCTCCCGGGCCTCGTCCCAATCGTCAGAAGTCAGTGCTCGCATTGCATTTTTTCGAATCTTGCTTGGTGCTTCTTGCATTCTTTGTCCACGCAAGGCCCTCTTACTCCCCTCTCTGCTGCACGTGTTCTCCATGCACCTGCATGTATATCCACCACCTCTCCGTGTCTCTCTATGTGACCCTGTATCTCTGCAGATGCTGCCGACCCCTGTGGGCAGCAATCATACAAGCACAGCGACCTAAACCCCGTCTTCAACCCGTGTGGGCAGTTCAGCTGCAGCAAGAAGGGCACCAGCAATCGCTGCAACTGCTCTGATGCCCGCTTCGCTGAAGTCAAGAACACCGATGGCTCCTACACCTGTGCCTATGGTAACTCACACCGGGGCGTTGGTGCTGTGCACAGTGCTTGTGTGTTCATGCTCATGGTGATGCTCTTGTGCATTGGTGGCAGAGCAGAGATCAGCATCATTTCACACCACTGAACTGCCAGTCTTCACTCTCATACGCTGCCATGGGCCTATTCTTTGGCATCACTGCACTGCCCATCTCCCGACTACTTGCAGCACATCACAGAGAAGCTGGTACTGGCTTTGCTGGAGGGCACTCTCCGCAAGAATGCACTCCCAGCAACTCGCCTCGCATCTCTAGCCTATGGGCATGTTGACCTATTGTGCACCTTCCACACACTTTCACCCCTGTGTCGTCCCCACTCGTCTGCCCTCGCTCCCAGTGGACGTGTGTGGGTCCAGCAGTCGCAACCCGTGTGTGGTGGGCACGTGTGTGAACGATGGCAAGGGCAGCTACTCCTGTGTGTGTCCCAGGGGCTTCATCCAAGGCACGATGGTTGGTGGAGGCTTCTCGTGCACTCCTGGTACGATTCGTGGCTTGGTTGGCATGTTGCAGCTGTACCCGTGCCATGGCCATGGATCACCCCCCCACATGCATCACCCACGCCATCGCCATAAATTTCTCTCAGAGATGCAAGCTGACCCCCGCCAATGCCCACCTCATCAACCTCCAATCCTGGCCGTCCTCTGCTGCTGACCATGTAGAGCTCGCAGTTCCCTGCGGATCACCCCATGCCCTGCATTGCCCCCGGCCCCCCATTGCGCACGTGTGTGGGTGGCAGGTCAGGCGCAGGGCACGTACACAGTGCTGGCAGGCAACGTCATGTGCTCGCACATCACAGCTGTCTTCGGCATGCCCACTGCAGACCTCTTGAAGCAGGTCAGCGCCATAACACTTGCACCCACCAGCAAAGTTTCTCAAAAGGACGCCACGCACAACAGATGGCACCTCCAGCTTCCCTCATTCTGCTTCCCTCCATCCATTCAAATCCCCACCCTGTACTAGCGGGTGGAGTCATCCCACCACCTTTGTTCTATCGGCTTTCCAGATCTTTCCTGTGACTCCAATTGCACGCGGTCCCGCATGTGCAGGGAGTGTCATGCGCCAAGCCTCTGCCGATAGGAAAGACGCTGTCGGTGGTGTTCAACATCAAAGACTGCAGTGTCTTCTACAGCACCAATGCTGTACGCGCCCCTCTCTGCCTCCTTCTTGTAACTCTCTCTCACTTCTGCCTACCTGGTACTTTCTATCCAATCACAGGCACCATTATGTTTTTTTTCGTGCTCTTCTGCCTCTTACAGTTGGAACATCGAAGCTTGTACAAGCTACAACGCATACGTATCTGTCTTTCCTTCTCCTTACACGCCTCTTTCTCCCCCCGTACCCCCCAGGGCGACACGTGCACGGGGGTGGCGCGGCAGGTGGAGCTGTGTGGGGCGGCGGCCTCGGATGCGGAGTGTGAGGCGGCATTTCAGGCGCTCAACCCCGCTGTCAACTGCTCCTCCCTCAGCCCCTCCCAGGCCGTGTGCCTCGAGAGGGACCCCGCCAAGGCCAACCGCATTCCGGTGTGTGACGAGTACTACCGGCCGCGGGCAAGCGACACGTGTGAGAGCATTATGGACTCGGCATCCCCTCCTCTGGGCGCCAAGGAGCTGTACCGGCTGAACCCTGGCATCAACTGCAACCAGCTCATCCCAGCCAAGGACTACAGCTTCCAGTGGCCCCTTGAGCGCGAGGTATGCTGCGCGTTCTAGCATACTGGTCCAGTGCCGCTGCCTTGCCTTCTGTCGCATGTCACGTTGAAAGTTTGCCAACAGAGTTGGAGCATTCTTATGATAGACTTCTGTGTTCCCCCCCCACTTCCCCCCCTCCCCCCCCTCTTTGTAAATGCAGTTTTGCACCAAGAGCTCGACATCATTTGCGATTGGGAGCTGTCCAACAGACAACCAGTACTACTTCATGCCCACTGATAACTGCAGTAGTGTCCACGTGCAGCATTTCCATGGCATCAAGGGCTGCTACCGGAAAATCAATGGGTACGAATGTGTCGACAAGATGACACCAGGAACTAAGGTCTGCCTACCGAACTACAATAGTGCTCGGATTGGAGAGTGTGTATATTAGATCCGAATAAAAAAGTGGCACCTATTCCAATAAAATTACTGCGCTCCCTCATACAGAACACCCTGAGAACATCAGCATGCTGTACCATATGAGATGAAGAAGGCCAGGAATACCGTACAAGGAAAACAGTACTGTATAGAAGAATATTATATATACTATACTACGGTAAAAGTTCAGGGGTCTCAACTTTTTTTTATATGTGATTAAAGAGCCCCCTGACCTCCCGTGTCTTTTATCGGATAAATACAGGTACCAAAATATGGAGGACAGCTTAAAGCTGACACTGTTTGTAATCCTCGGAGATACCATAAAACTAGCCCCTTTTTTATCAACAAATCACACGACAGCCACACCTGATGTTCTGCTGCGCCGGCCATGGCTTGTCTTGCCTCCCCTCTTCTTGTCCTGCCACCCAAGGCGTGTGAGCAGCTGGTGACGGTCAATGGTGGTGTCATCAGGCAGGTCAAGAGACTCCAGCTGCGTTAGCGCCGTGAGGTGCTGCAGCCCGTACCCCCCCACCGCCGTGTGATACACACTCAGAATTTCCAGTCCAGTGAGCCGCCCCACATGCACCATGCCAGCGTCTGTCACCCCAGGCGGCAACACCAATGACACAAGGTCAGTGAGCGCGGTGAGGTGCTGCAGGCCTTCGTTTGTCACGCGGGTGTCGGGGAGAGAGAGGCCTCGCAAGCTAGTGAGGCGCCCCACATGCCAGCAGAGGTGACGCCAAGGCAGCCGCACAGAGAAAGCCTCTGCAGGGACGGCAGCGCGAGCAAGTGCTGCAGGCCGGCATCGGTGACTCCACACGGCGTGGTGAACGAGCAGAGGTGGCGCAGGCAGGTCAGCAGCGGCAGCACTTCATCTCCCATGTCACATCCGCCCAGGGATAGCTCTTCCAGCCCTGTCAACCGGGCCACGTGCAGCATGAGAGCCGGGGTGAGGTTGTAACAGCAATCCAGGGAGAGGTCTGAGAGTGAGGTGAGCGCAGTGAGCGGCTCCAAATCGCCGTCGCGCACACTCGTGTTGTCCAACACGAGCGAGTCGAGACTGCTCGCTGCACCGATGCCCTCCAGAGATACTGCCTCGTCGCCCCCACCGCCCACTGGTGTGCCGTAGAGAATGAGGCTGGTGAGGCTGGGCATAGCGTAGAGGTGCTGCAGGCCGTGTGTGGTGAAGCCGGAGGAGTTGGAGAGGTCGAGGGTGGAGAGGCGGGTCATGCCGGCCACGTGTGCCAGCACTGCGTCTGTCAGCGATGCCTCCCCACACAGCTCTAGCTCCGCCTCCTGCGATGCTGCCAGGATCTTCTGCGGAGAGGGAAGTGCGGAGAGGGAGTGTGCGGAGAGGGGAATTTAGGGTAAGAGGGAACGCAGGGTAAGAGGGAACGCAGGGTAAGAGGGAACGCAGGGTAAGAGGTGAAAGAGGAGGGCGTCACGGAATATGCTGGCAGAATATGCAAGCATGCACTCACGTGCCACATTTCGCGGCTCTCGTCCTGGTCGCTGGCAATCAACCCCTTCACCGCCGCCAGCTCCCTCTTCATCTCCTCCACCTCGCCCCTCACCCGCTGCACGTCCCTCCTCTGCTCTGCCGCCTCCTCCCGCACGGCTGCCACCTCCCGCTGCAGCGCGGCCACCTCGCTCCTCACTTCCTGCAGCGCCCTCATCGCTGCCTCGCCCGCTGCGCACGCCTCCTCGCGCGCACGCTTTCCCATTGCTGCCATGCCCCTCCCGCTCGCTGCTTCTAGCTCTCGGTGGGTGCTCCTGCTCACGTCAAAGCCAGTGTTGGTGGTAGAGGTGTCGGCACTGGTAAGGGCGGGATGAGAAAAGGGGGCGGTGGGGAGGACAGAGGGCGAGGGGAGAAGAAGCTACTGGTACGCGCTTGGAGGCGAGGGGAAGGGGGAAGCAGTGGTGCGCAGCAAGCACAGATCATGCGGCAATTCGCTTCGAGTTGGGGACGAGAAAGGCCGTGTACGGTGAGCTAGGTAGAGGTATCAAGAACATGGAGCGCGACGCGGAGGAGCAGTCTGTGCTCATGGACGGCGACACACATGCAGCATACGGCAAGCGCCTCGCACATCAATCGCTACAAGCACCTCATTCGGTAAAAGCACCTCATTACCTCATTCACTTAAAGCACCTCATTCGCTAAAAGCACCTCATTCGCTAAAAGCACCTCATTCGCTAAAAGCACCTCATTCGCTACAAGCACCTCATTCGCTACAAGGACCAAAAAGGAGGCGGGAGTAGTGGAAAGACGGAAACACGGAGTGGCGGCTTGGCGGGAGCGAGCAGGAGGAACAACACGCAATCTTGCGTTTTTTTTGTCGTCGTTTTTGTACACGTTTTGCAACAATCCCGCAGCTTTTTGGCAGAAAAAACTTCGGGGACCTTTTTTGGCCATTTGCCCTTTCCGCGATGTAGTACGCGCGCAGCAGGTGTGCACGCAACGGATGCAACGGGCAAGAGATGTGAAATGCAGCGATACGGTTCAGAATGCACGCCGCCAGTGTGTGGGTGAGCGCCGTGCGTGGTTGCAAAGCGACTGAGCTGCGGTCACGGCCGTACCTAGTATGAGCTTAACTCGAGCTTTCGTACCAAACGAGACGCCAAGACTCAAATATTCTGAAAATAAATTGACGGCGGCTGAGGTTCGGCAGTGCGGCGGGCCCGACGCGACCCGCGAGGATAATGCGCTGAATGATATGTTGAACACCAGCTTATGCGGCGGCACCGTGGAGGCTTTAAAGAGGTCTGGAAAAGTTCATTCAGCAGTTCCTGCCAGTGTGCGGCGGGCTGAGGCGATGCGTGTGGTTGCGCGTTGCGCCGACGAAGCGGCTTCGGCGCTGCGATGGCGAGACGGCTGTTGTACTCACGTATTTTTGGGTGAGAAATCAGATGCGGCAGTGAGGGTGAAATTGGGAGGATGATCAGGGCCCTCCCCTGTCGCGAGGGTTTGGTGAAGATTGGCAAGAGGAGGCAGTGGCGAGACAATGTGGTGAGGTACGATTTGGTGCAGTTTACGGTTGTGATAGTGTTACGGATGCAATTGAACAAGCTAGTTGTTATGAGTTGTGAATGAAAGAGTGCGCAGAACTCAATAATGCGGAAGTGATTACAACGTCTGAGAACACAACGAGGCCTAGGACTAATATAGCGTGTTATGAATAGTAATATTTGATATTACTGTGCACTCCTCACCGCAGCAAAGAGAAGCACGCAATATCGGGAATGAACGCGAAGCGTCAGACGGTTGGAATTGAATCGAAGCGTCGGACGGTTACAGCACATCTGGACCGTCGGGAGCAGACGGCATCGGGCGGCTACTGGCAGGATGGTTTTGGCGGGAACAGTTACGAAACTGTACGCGCCGCACGGTTGGGGATGTATTTGAATAAGGGAATGTACCAGGCCCTCATAAGTCAGAGAAATTTGTCTGATTTGCTCTAAAAAGTCTGAGATTTCAGATTTTTTTATAGGTATACTCTGAGAAAATCAGATTTTTTTTTGGCTTCAACTCTGTAAAAATCAGATTTTTTTAAAGGATGACTATGACATTTCAGAGTTTTTCGTGAGTGTACTCTGAGGAATTCAGAGTACAAACGAGTACCGACTCTGATTGAATCTACCTGTGCACCGACCCCCTGGATTATCGGCGGTACATTGTACCTGTACCGTCAATCACGCGAATCTATGCCAACTGTCAAGTTCGGTAGGCGACGCCGCCCTGCGGCTCGGTGTTTCCCTCGTACAGCTGGATGATTCCCCCACCCTGCGGCGCGAGGTTTCCCACCGTGTAGCCTCCAGCACACCCTCTGTTATAGCATTGATTGGTCTGTTTGGCATCTTTTGACTGCCATCACGAACCCCACCACCACCAGTGTCCTCCATGCTGCAGCAGTTGCCACCCACGTAAAGGTGATGGCAAGCATGCGTTGGCAAGAACACCCGTTCATTGGTCCCTTTGGCTGCATCATGTACCAACACGAAACCTTCATCCCAGCTGTGCACGGAAGACGCGCCTCGTCGTTGCCGTGCATGCTAGGCAAACTCCCGCCAGAGGCATGGATGGCCCACAGTCAGTTATAGGGCCATCCTTTTGGGCTAGGGTTTCATCCCCATCCCTCAGCTCAGCTTCAACTCACGGGGCCCCTCCACAGCCCAGTACAGTAGCCTCTGTTCCGCATCCCCACGCCCCACAGCCTCCCCCTCACCCCTGTGGAGCACGAGCAGGAGGCCGAAGTGGTCACTGGGCAGCAGGGGCAGGTCCACCATGGTGGGCTGGCCCTTCACACGCCGCTGCTTGGAATAGGAGCCCCCGGGGATGGGGTGCGTGCCGAGCAGGGAGGGGGAGCATAGGCGCAGGTGGTGCAGGCGCAGCAGGCAGCGGTCCAGGCGCAGGCGCAGGCGGCCCCCTGCCAGCATGGGGTTCAAGCGACTGTCGTATGTGAAGCCCTCCTGCCAGGTGCTCAGGGCGCAAGGGTTGGAAAGGGGACGTGAGGTGGTGGGTTGGCAGGGGCAGTTGTGGTAGGGGCTTGAGGGGTGGGAAGGGGGGTGGTTTTGCAACAGAGTGTGCGGAGGGAGTGGTTGTGGCACAAAGCAATATAAGTGTACGGCATCGCTGTGGGTCGTGCTGTAGGATAAGAAAAAGGTGGGTGGTAGTACTTAGCTGAGCAATGTGCAAGAGGGAAGGTGCGAGCAGAAATGCAGGCCATGTCTGGAAAAAGAGACGGAATGCAGGGTGGAAAGAGATGCTGATGTGCGCAGCCGTTCCTGCTCGGCAGGCTCTCGTTCCTCTCGTTCCTGCTCGGCAGGCTCTCTCAACTCCTCGTCATGGCTCAGCCCGACAATCCCACTACCTCCGATGACGACGACAGTGATTCGCAGCCTGCGTTAACAGGCTTGGATTTTTTGCTCAGTCACCTAGCTCTCGAGAAGGCAGCACGTGCCGAGCCCGATTCTATCCCCACCTTGAAGGAACCTCCAGCACCCGTGATCTCAGATCCTGACCCTGTGGCAGAGACACCTGCGAAACCAACGGTTGTCTCGGCATCGCACCATCCCGCTCAGACCACGGCGCGAACCATCCGGCTCAAGCAGGCGACATTGAGCTTCTCCAGGCCTTCAGCCTCGACCGCCAACGTCAATAACTCCCCCGGCTCGTCTGACCGTCCGCGACCTCGCCTCACCATAAACCTGGCCGAGCTCATTGAAGGGCTGTACGATGATGGAGGAGGACTTCAGGAGGAGGCAGCTGAACTACAACCAAGATGGCGATGGCAGCTATGGCATGCAAGGCAACAAGTGGCGTAAGAGGAATGGCCGGGGACGTGATGAACGTGAACAACATGGAAGCGGACGCGGCAACAAGAAGGAGAGCAGCAAGAGTGATGATGATGAAGAGGACGAGCATGGTGGCTATCGCGGATTCAAGGGCACCTGCTGGTATTGCAAGAAGCCGGGACATACTTGGGTGAAGTGCTGGAAGCGGCCCAAGTGGTGGACCCCCGAGCATGAGGATGGCGAGAAGAACCAACCGCATGGCGTTGGTTACGTAGCAGAGACCGCAATGGAAGGGAAACAAGGATGGGAACGCGCTCTTGGACAGTTCTTCCATGTGCAAGGGAGTAGGGGAAATGAGAAGGTGTCTGCCAAGGAAGGAGCAGAGCCTTATCCCCTCAACGCATGGATCCTAGACTCCGGAGCGGTGTGTCACATGACCCCAAGGGCGGACCTGCTAGACAAAATTGGTGTGACGAGAATCACTGAGATGAACTCAGGGTGCGGACACAAGATGAGAGTGATGGGCGTCGGCACAGCGGCATTAAAGGGAGCTGATGGGAAGCCGGTCGTCCTAGAAGATGTGCTTTTGGTGCCGGAGCTGAAAGGGAATCTGATTTCCCTAAGGAAGATGGGGCTTGCATGCGTGTGTACAGCAACTAATGGAGCTGAAACCTTCAAGGGGCAGCTTGGTGATCGTGTGCTGTGGGACCTACACGAGGACAAGGACCTGCTTGACGAGTTGTGGCATGTGTCGGTGATGCTATGGAGTGAGGTGGCACCTGAGAAGGAGAAAGGGAGCTGCGGCTGCAAGGGAGAATGTGCTGCAGTAGCTGCTGAAACGATTAAGGAGCTGAAATCAACGGTGGAGATGCTGGTGCATCAGGTGAAACTGATGAATGTTCGACTTGCAGCGGCTGAAAAGCGGAATGCTTTCGCCGCTGATGAGGAGAAGGGTGCAGAGGTCAGGGGGAGCAAGGATATTGCTGCTGCTGTGGTTAAGGGGAAGGGAGTTCACAAAAGTGACACTCATGAGCAGCACAAATGTGAGGTATCGGTGGAGCTGAAGGATGCAGCTGTGAAGGAGAAAACGATGATGCTGAATGTGGAAAGCGTTGCAGCTGATGGAACCGGGATGATGAGGGAACCCGAGGTGAAGCGTAGCTTGGAGGAAGCAGATACGACCTTGGGTGGTAATGATGTTACCTTTGTGAAGCTGCAAGTAGCTGATGCCATGGGAGATAAAAGTGTGGGGAGGGATAAGACAGCCTTCCCTAAAACTGGAGTTGGGATCGGCAATGTGGCGAAGCCGGTCGACAGTGAGAAGCTGAGTGATATAGTTGAATAGCCGTCAAGTTAAGGGGGAATTTGTTGGGTGCAAACTATATTTTGCACGTCAACCTATCTCCTGTTCGTTGAGCAAGGTGAAATTTGAAGGTATTTGTTTTAAGTTAATTTGTGTGGTGTGGAATGCGCATCTGTGCACTGATCATTTTGGCGTTTACGGTTTGTGATTCGCCTTAACGGTTCTTAAGTTATGTGCATTTGAGTGTGAGGTTACATTCATATGCTTTCATGATTGTTCGTGCGAATCTCGTGTTGTTCGTGTTACGCCATGAATGTGCGTGAAGTTCTGGGTGTTCCGAAGGTTCATGGTCCTTCGCGTGTTCATGAATGTTTGCGTGCTGTTCGTGCGAGCGCTCATGTTCGTTCATGTGCGCTCTTGTTTTGCTCATGACGGTTTATGTTTCTTTCATGGTTGTTCATGCGTTTTTCATGAATTCTGGTAGTGAATGTCGAGTGAGTTTGGTGTGGGGCTCGATTGTTTGACCAGCCCCATTGACCACCTCGCGCCGGTCAATAGAAAAAAGGGCGCGAGGAAAAACGGTCCGTAATGTTAAACTGTATTATGCTTGTAGGCTGTAGTGGGGTAGCCAATATGGGGTACAACCCCAACTAGGGTTTCATATTTGTACCCAAACTTCTGTTAGTTCAATCATTCTTGCCTAGTGATTCTGACATGGTATTCAGAGCAGGAGGTCCCTAGGACCTACCGATCGTTTTTAGGGCCCACCACCGCTCGCATGCGGTTACCACGCTACCCCGTTCCCTAGCCTCGTAGCGCCCTCGTGCGCCCTCGTTAGCGCCCTCGCGCGCACCCTCGTTAGCGCCCTTGCGCCCCCCCAACGTCAGCGCCCTCGCGCGCCCCTTCGTTAGCGCCCTCGCGCGCCCCTTTGCTAGCGCCCTCGCGCGCCCCTTACTAGCGCCCTCGCGCGCCCCTCACTAGCGCCCTCGCGCGCCTCTCACTAGCGCCCTCGCGCGCCCCTCGCCGAGCCGCCCGCTCGCAGCCCGCCCGCCCGCTCGCTGCCCGCTTCGCGGCCCGCTCACTACGCAGCCCGCCCGCCCGCTCGCTGCCCGCTTCGCGGCCCGCCCGCTTCGCAGCCCGCTCGCTCGCTGCCCGCTTCGCGGCCCGCCCGCTTCGCAGCCCGCTCGCTCGCTGCCCGCTTCGCGGCCCGCCACTTCGCAGCCCGCCCGCCCGCTCGCTGCCCGCTTCGCGGCCCGCCCGCCTCGCAGCCCGCTCGCCCCGCTGCCCGCTTCGCGGCCCGCCCACTTCGCAGCCCGCCCGCCCGCTCGCTGCCCACTTCGCGGCCCGCTCGCATCGCAGCCCGCTCGCCCCGTTGCCCGCTTCGCAGCCCGCCCGCCCGCCCGCTGCTCGCTTTGCGGCCCGCCCGCCTCGCAGCGTCGCCCGCCCACCGTGCTGCCCGCTTGCAGCGCCGCCTGCCCGCCGCGCTGCCCGCTTTCCGGCCCGTCCGCCGCGCTGCCCGCTCGCAGCGTCGCCCTCCCGTCGCACTGACCGCTTGCAGCGCCGCCTGCCCGTAGCGCCAGCCTCGCCCGCTGCTCTCTATCCGTGCACAGTCGTCTTCCCCTGCTGCGGCAGTTTTCGTTACTCTGTCACACTGTCGCTATGGCTTCCATTCGCGTGCTGTCGTTCGATGCTGAGGGCCGCCCTGTGCGTTTCACCGCTTGGCTAGATGACCTGCAGCTGTTTCTCCTGAGCGATAGCAAGGAGCATGTGTCGCTCTATGACTACGCGTCTGGTGCTGCGCCTGCCCCTCCTGCCACAGCTGAGCTTAGTGTTCGTTCCCACTGGCAGACTCGTGACGCAGCTGCTCGCCTAGCCATTCGCAGTCACCTGCCGTTAGCTGAGCTAGAGCATTTTGGCGACTGCAAATCCGCTAAGGCCCTGTACGACGCTGTCGTCGCTCGCTACTCCTCGCCTGCCACAGCTGAGCTTAGCCGCCTCATGCTGCCGTACCTGTTCCCCGATCTGTCCACCTTTACTACAGTCGCCGATCTTATCACCCACCTTCGCACTAGTGATGCTCGCCTGCGTGCCGCCCTTCCCACCGAGTTCTGCGCTAAGAACCCCCCTCCACTGTACTGGACACTCCACTTCATAGTCACCCGTCTCCCTGACACCCTCCGCTCAGTTCGAGACCACTTCCTTGCTCGCTGTCCCACTGAGCTCACAGTCGCCCTCCTAGAGGAGCACCTGCTCGCGGCCGAAAAGAGCATTGTAGCTGTCGGTGCTGCTCGTGGCGCTCCTCGCACCCCCATCTTTGAGGGGTGTTCTCCCTCTCCCCTCGCTCCCTCCTACGCTGCTGCTGCTGCTGTTGACTTCCTTGGTGCTGAGTCTGTTGGCGCTGCTTCTACTCCTGGTGGGAGGCGCCGCACCGGCAAGGGCAAGGGGGGCAAGGGTGGTGGTGGTGGCGCTGGGGGGGGAGGAGGTGGGGGAGGTGGGGGGGGAGGCGGTGCTGGAGGGAGCGGTGGCGGGAGCGCTGGTGGGAGTGGGGTCGGTGGTGGAGACGGGGGCGGCGGAGGGACCAGTGGCAGTAGTGGCGGCGGCGGCGGTGGCGGCGGTGGCGGTGGTGGCGGTGGTGGCGGTGGCGGTCGGAGCGGTGGTAGTGGTGGCGGCGGAGGTCGGAGTGGAGGCACTGGCTCTGGCCAGAGCTCCCAGCAGCAGCAGCGTCCCCAGACGACCCAGCAGCTTCGTGAGTGGCTTGCTCAGCGTGGGACGTCGGGGGCCAGTGCCCGCTGTTCTTATGTCATTCGCACAGGTGACCGCAAGGGACAGACGTGTGGGAGGTTCCACACCCCGTACCGCTGCTTCTCCCGCCTTGACGACGCTTGGCGTGAGGAGATGGGTGCGGATGTTGAGCGCCCCCGCTGGGCTGAGCTCATGAGGGCTGGTGTTGATGTCTTTGCTCTTGACTATGATGCTATTATTGCTGCCATGTATGCATTGACTGTTAGTGCCGAGGGAGACTGTTACTTGTGTGTGCCGCCTGACCCAGGTATAGAGCCCGCTGCCCTGGGTACTAGTGAGTCTGCTCTCTCTGGTATGGTGCCCCCTGTACTTGCTCCCCCCAGTGCTGTCCCGGCTGGTTTCGAGTCTGCTCTCTCAGGTACAGCACCCACACAGACTCCTCTCTCAGGTACCGCACCGGCTGAGGCCTGTCACACCTTCACCCTTGACTCAGGTGCTTCCCGTTGCTTCTTTCGTGACAGTACTGAGCTCACACCGCTTCCTGCACCGGTCCCAGTCTCCTTGGCTGACCCCTCTGGGGGCCCAGTCCTTGCCCAGTCCACCACTGTCCTCCCTTGTCCGGCGGTTCCGTCTGGCTCGTTGTCGGGTTTTCACCTCCCCTCGTTCTCGACGAACCTGGTGAGCAACGCTGTCCTCCAGGATCAGTGGGTTGACACCTTTACCCCTGGCGGACAGCGTGTGGCGATCTGCACGTGCTCCAGGACTGGCCGTCACCTGGCTACGTTCACCCGTCGGCCGGGGTCGAGTCTCTACACACTGACCACTGCGTCTCCCCAGGTAGCTGCTGTCGGTCAGGTGTCTGCGTCAGGTCTGGTGGCCCACGCCTGTGAGTGTCGTTCCCTGTCGCACCAGACTCTTCTCTGGCACCACCGCCTGGGTCACCCCTCCTTGCCACGCCTTCGTGGCATGCACCGTCGCCTCCTTGTGTCCGGTCTTCCCAGGTCCCTCCCTCCCCTCCCTGCCTCGCCTGCGCCGCCCTGCCTTCCTTGCGTCGAGGGGCGGCAGCGCGCCGCTCCTCACTCCTCCTCGTTCCCCCCGACAGAGGCTCCTCTGGAGACCCTCCACCTGGACGTGTGGGGCCCAGCCCGCGTTCGTGGTCAGGGCGGTGAGCGGTATTTTTTGCTGGTTGTCGACGACTACTCGCGTTACACCACGGTCTTCCCCTTGCGCACCAAGGGTGAGGTCCCTGCTGTTCTGATCCCTTGGATCCGCACGGTTCGTCTCCAGCTCCGCCGCCGTTTCCGGACGGATCTTCCTGTCCTGCGTCTGCACTCTGACAGAGGTGGTGAGTTTTCCTCCGATCTCTTGAGGACCTTCTGTCAGGCGGAGGGCATCGAGCAGACCTTCACGCTTCCGGACTCCCCACAGCAGAATGGGGTTGCTGAGCGCCGCATTGGCCTGGTCATGGAGGTCGCTCGTACCTCCTTGGTCCACGCGGCGGCTCCCCATTTTCTGTGGCCGTTTGCTGTCCGGTACGCCGCACATCAGCTCAACCTCTGGCCCCGTGTCTCCTTGCCGGAGACGTCGCCCACACTGCGTTGGACGGGGGAGGTTGGCGATGCGTCGCGCTTCCGGGTGTGGGGTGCTCGTGCCCTTGTCCGCGATACGTCCGCGGACAAGCTCTCCTCCCGCACGCTTCCCTGTGTCTTCCTTGGCTTTGTCCCTGACGCGCCTGGCTGGCAGTTTTACCACCCCACCTCGCGCCGGGTCTTCGCCTCTCAGGATGTCACCTTTGACGAGTCGGTCCCTTTTTACCGTCTCTTCCCCTACCGCACTGCCCCCCTCCCTCCCCCGCCGCTTTTCCTTGCTCCTGGTCCCCCTCCGGTAGACCCCCTTCCCCCTCAGGGTCCTGCTCCTTCAAGTGTGTCTCAGGTAGACCCTCCTCCCGTCGCTGAGCCTGTCGAGGTCACAGGTGACTCAGGTGCTGCTGCGGGTGGTGCTGCTGGGAGTGCTGAGCCTGGGGGTGCTGAGCCTGGGGGTGCTGAGCCTGGGGGTGTTGAGCCTGGGGGTGCTGGGGCTGCAAGTGCTGGGACTGAGGGTGCTGGAGCTGAGGGTACGGTGCCTGAGAGTACGGAGCCTGGGGGTGCTGCGCCTGGGGGTGCTGAGCCTGCGGGTGCGGGGCCTGGGAGTGCTGGGACTGCAGGTGCTGGAGCTGAGGGTACTGTGCCTGAGAGTTTGCCGCCTGGGGGTGCTGAGCCTGGGGGTGCTGCGACTGGGGGTGCTGAGCCTGCGGGTACTGAGCCTGCGGGTACTGAGCCTGGGGGTGCTACTATTGAGCCTACGGAGCCTCGGGTTACTGCGTCTGGGGGTGCTCCGGTTCGGGGTGCTGAGCAGTCTCTCACACCGCAGCAGCTTCGTGACTGGTACGTCCGACGCTTTCGCCGTCCTAGTGGCTCGGCTGGAGTTGGGGGTGCTGGAGCTGCTCGTCCTGGGGGTGCTCGTACTGGGGGTACTGGAGCTGCCGGGACTGGCTGTTCTGGGAGCACTGCGACTGGAGCTGCTGGAGCTGGGGACTCTGGCGCTGGCGGTGCTAGCGGAGTTGGAGCTGCCGACTCTGGGGGTGGCGCTGCTGCTGGTGCTGCGGACCCACCTGGTGGAGCTGCTGCTGGTGCTGAGGAGTCGGACGGTGGAGCTGCTGCTGGAGCTGGGGACCCGGCCGGTGGAGCTGCTGCTGGTGCTGTGGACCCGGACGCTGGAGCTCCTACTGGTGCTGAGGACCCGGCCGCTGGAGTCCCTTCTGCTTCTGGAGACGCTGCGCGGCCGCGACCGTACTTCGTACCGCTCCTTCAGCAGGTTCTTGGGCAGGCTCCTCCTCCTTGTCCTCCTCCCTCCGTAGAGTGTCCTCCGCCTGTCCAGCCGCAGTCACAGTTACCGCCTGCCTCGCCTCTCCCTGCTCCCTCTCCTTATACTGGTCCCACAGGAGGTCTTACAGAGCGTCGTGAGCCTGAGTCTCGTCCTGCGTCGCCTGTTCGTCCTGCTCGCACTGCTAGTCGTGTCCGTCGTGAGCGTCCTCCTCCTGTCCCAGGCACTCACTACATGACTCTGCGTCCCTCTACTGCTCCTCGGCGTGTCCCTCTACCGTCTCCTCCTGCGTCCTCTTTGCCTGACGTTCCGGACCCTGAGTCTGACCGGTATCGCGCTGAGCACCCTACAGTCACGCGTCTCCTCGCTACTGTTGTCACTGACCCTACCTTTGAGTCCTCGGCTGCATCTGCTCTGGTCGCTGAGTTGGTTGACTTTGCTGCTGCCTGTCGTCTAGACTACGCTGCTAGCCTTGTTGCTGAGTCAGAGTCTGCGTCTGTCTGTCCTCCGTCCGTCGGGGGTGAGTGTGCTCTTGGCACGGACGTCCTTGAGGACAGGCAGGAGGACTTTGACTCTCTTGCGGCTGCTGTACCTCATCTCGTGGCCTGGTTGCTTGCCCCTGAGGGAGACCCGGATGCACTAGACATCCCCACTCCGCGCACTTACGCAGAGGCGATCTCGGGTCCCTACTCCTCTCAGTGGCAGACAGCCATGGACGCAGAGATGGCATCCTGGAAGTCCACAGGCACCTACGTCGACGAGGTTCCCCCTCCTGGGGCGAACATCGTCGATGGCATGTGGATTTTCAGGGTGAAGCGGCCGCCAGGTTCTCCGCCTGTCTTCAAGGCTCGTTACGTTGCTAGAGGCTTCAGTCAGCGTCAGGGGGTCGACTTCTTCCAGACCTTCTCCCCCACCCCGAAGATGACCACTCTTCAGGTTCTGCTGCACGTTGCTGCTCAGCGTGACTACGAGCTTCACTCTCTTGACTTCAGCACAGCGTTCCTGCAGGGCAGCCTGCACGAGGAGATCTGGCTGCGCCGCCCACCTGGCTTTACTGGGTCGTTTCCCCCTGGTACCCAGTGGAGTCTCCGCCGGCCAGTCTACGGTCTCCGCCAGGCGCCACGTGAGTGGCACGACACACTGAGGACTACTCTTGCGGCTCTTGGGTTCGCGCCGTCTACTGCTGACCCGTCGCTGTTTCTGCGCACAGACACGTCGCTGCCGCCGTTCTACATTCTCGTGTACGTCGACGACTTGGTCTTTGCTACTGCTGACACTGAGGCACTCGCTCGTGTGAAGTCGGAGCTGCAGAAGAGACACACCTGCACTGACCTGGGTGAACTGCGTAGCTACCTTGGCTTGCAGATCACCCGGGACAGAGCTCGCCGCACCATCACCCTGACTCAGTCACACATGGTGCAGCAGGTCCTTCAGCGCTTCGGCTTCCAGTTCTCCTCACCACAGGCCACACCTCTGGCTACCAGCCACTCGCTCTCAGCTCCACCTTCGGACGAGTCCGTAGAGCCGAGTGGCCCGTACCCAGAGCTTGTAGGCTGCCTCATGTACTTGATGACTTGCACGCGACCTGACCTCGCGTACCCTCTTAGCATCCTTGCTCGTTACGTTGCGCCTGGGAGACACAGGCGAGAGCACTGGGAGGCTGCTAAGAGGGTGCTGCGTTACCTGTGCAGTACATCAGGCATGGGGCTGGTGCTTGGAGGACGCGACAGAGTTGTCCTCACTGGTCACTCGGACGCCTCTTGGGTGGACGACCTGGCTACGCAGCGGTCGTCACAGGGTTACACCTTCAGCCTTGGCTCAGGTTCTGTCTCGTGGCGGTCCACCCGCTCTTCCTCTGTTCTCGGCTCTAGTTGTGAGGCTGAGATCTACGCCACAGCCATGGCTGCACAGGAGTTACGCTGGCTCACCTACCTGCTGACTGACTTGGGAGAGCGGCCTAGTTCTCCTCCAGTTCTGTACGGTGACAACAAGGCGGCTCTTGCCTTGTGTCAGGAGCACAGACTGGAGCACAGGACGAAGCACATTGCTCTTCGCTACTTTCTTGCTCGAGAGCTTCAGCAGCGCGGTCAGCTTCGACTTGTGTACGTGGACTCGAAGGCCAACACTGCTGATATCTTCACCAAGGCGCTCCCGCCTAGTGATCATCAGCGGCACTGTACTTCTTTAGGCCTTGTGTCCACGTTTCCTCACTTGCTCACTGCTTGACATTCTTTGTACTGTACTTTATATATATCTTGTTGCTTGCTTGCTAGGTTTTGATCACTGTGTTGCTTGTCTTGTACTATATCTAGCACTGCATGTGAACTGGCCTTGTGGCCTTTACTTGTGCTCGGAGTGTGGTGACGTTGTGATCCACCCTGGGCTTTGTTTTGCTTTGCTGGACTGGTCTTGTGACCCTTTGTTCTCCCCCACTTTGCCTATGGGGGTGTGTTAAACTGTATTATGCTTGTAGGCTGTAGTGGGGTAGCCAATATGGGGTACAACCCCAACTAGGGTTTCATATTTGTACCCAAACTTCTGTTAGTTCAATCATTCTTGCCTAGTGATTCTGACACGTAATGCCACGCGGGCCTCCGTAACCTGGGCCCCGTAATGGGCCCCGGGTTACGGTGTCCTCACGCGGGGCACGCCAGCAATGCGACGAACCAAGGGCTGAGCACTCGGCCGCCCATCCCTGCGACGGGATTGGGCGGCCGACCCTTGGCCCCGAGCCGGGGACACCCGATGGGGCGTACCCAATGACCCCCAATCCCACGCCAGCCCTAGCCACTCTGACGCAGCCCAAGCCACTCTGACACAGCCCGGGCCACGCTGACGCGGCGAGTGGGGACCACTGGATTCGCCTCCGAGCAGGCTCGGAACCAGGGCTCGATTGCGCGAACCACGTCGGGTTACCCGCGCGACCAAATGTTGGTGCTCGCTGAAACCAACAATGTACACGCAAAAATGTAGGCGCTCGGCGTAAACCGTTTAAAGGGTTCAATCCAACCGGGTATGAAAATATGGAGCCGCCCCCCACCAAAATTCAAGCGGGCCTGGCTCGGTCAGCGAAGCACTCTAAACCGAGCCTGTGGCCTTCGCGCACGTGGGTGAAATGCATGGGTGCGAGGGACGGCGACGGCTCACCACTGCTCATTCGTCGTTCCGAAGCAAGCACGGAGGCTGGTTCGGGCGGTGGCCTGGGATGGGCCGTGGGCCTAAATAGGTCGAAGGGGGGTGCTCGACTCTCATTTTCGCCTTTTCATTCTCGCTTTGTCATCTTTGTTGTTGTTCCTCTCTCAACATTCCATCGCTTCAGCTCCAGATCGACTTGTGGGAGGTGAGCCTGGGGGACTTGTGGGAAGTGAGCCTGGGGTTGTATGTCACTTTAGGGTTGTGTCAGGTGGGTTTGCTGTTGGATTTGTTTGCGGTGGAATTTCGTGGTGGTGGTTTTGCGTATTCGCGCACGAATAATTTCCGTGCACGATCGCGCTCCTTTTTCCTAACGTGTTCTCGTCCGCACGGATACTGTCCGGACACGATCACGCGTAGATATTCTTGATGTGTAATCACCCGCTCGAATACTTTTCGTGCACGATCACGCGTTTTGCCCCCTTGTTGTGTTTCCGCCTGCACTGACGTTCGTGTTTGCTCATGTAGCCTGTGCGTGGACTTCGAATGCCCAGGATGACCCGTGAACTGCGCGACCTTCTGGACCCGATGGAGTCCCTCCAAATGTTTGGCGTCACGATTGAGGGCGGGGGCACGTACGCGACGCTACAGGCTGAGGACAAGAAGTGCCTCCTGGACGACGACACCGAGTTCACGAACCCCTGCCTCGATTTCGCGTGCATGTATGTGTTTCATGATGTCGATTTCGCGATTCGCGGTCGCTAAGATGGCTGTATTGGTTACGGGACTCTCGTCTCCTTGTCCCAACCTTCCCTCTTCAGCTCCATACTGGAAAAGCATGGTGGGGACCGCGCGCGAAAGTCGCGAATTTTCCCGGCCGCCGAATTGCGAAAGTTGATTGAGGCTTCGACGGTGGATGTAGACATGATGCTGAACGAGATGCTCGTTTTCCCGTTCTGGTCCAAGTAAGTCACGATTGATTTTCGCGTACCGTTTTCGGGTGGTACAACAATACGTTGAGAAAAGTGGCCGTTAATTGTGTTTGCTGTTCAGATTCGAGGAGGAGGAACCGAAGTGCAGCATCCTGCTCATTTTGCATCCGGGAGATCTCGAATGCCCGGATGGTGAAGTTTGTCGCACGCGAATTCTTCACATTGACCCTTCCGTGGGTCCAGACCCGCACGCGAAGGACGCAAAGATCGCTATTGAGTGAGCGCGATTCTTGTTTCGGCATTACTTCCGCTTTGTGTTTTGATGCTTTAATGACTCACGTTTTTCGCGTTGACAGATGGTTTGGAGTTTACCTGCGCGGGATGGCTCAAGCTTTCGGGCCAGCTAAGTTTTCCGAAGTCGCCGAGCCATGCTTCAGAGCTTTGACTCGAGTGCCGATGGTACGTGGTTGTTGTTTCAAAGAGGCGGTTTATCGTAAAAATTGCCTGCCATACTGATCCGTGTTGTTTCCGTTCGCATGATCTGTCTTCTTTCGAGGACATGAAGGGAGTGACTGGTGTTCACGCAGTGTACGGATTTTATCGCGTGCTTTGTGAATTCGCGGTTGTGGCAGCAGACCCGAAGGCTCCGATTAGGGCCACGAAACCGAAGAACTTGAAGTTCATACGCGAGAAAGTGCTGAAGCACGCTCAGGATCTCGCGCTTGAGTTGCGTGGTCTCAAATCTGGCAAAGGCCGTGGTAACGTTTCGGGCTCCGAACACGGATCTCATGGGAGGGCTCGCGTGGAGGGAAGCGAGCGAGAGGGTGGTGGGAGCGGAAGTGACGCCACGGCCGTCGCGGATAATGTCGTCGCCGGCCCAGCCGGCGGTGGTCCTGTCGTGGGGGCTGAGGCCGCTTCGGGTGGTGGTGAAGAGGCGGAAAAGGTGGCGGAACCTGCTCCCGTTGTCGCCGGCCCTTCCCGCGTTGCAACTCCAACTGCGGTAGAGGCTCCTCGTTTGTTCGACGAGCTGGTGGCGTGGCCGGTCCAGTCGCTCGCGCGGGAGGTTCTTCGACTCGATGCCACGATTGCAGAAACGCACGAGCAGCTGAGATCGACAAATACGCACGTCACGAACCAGCGAAAACATGTTCGTGAATTGTCCGACGAACTCGACGAACTCACGGACAAGATGAAATCTCTGTGGGGGAAGTCGCTTCAATCCGCAAAGAGGCTCGATGACCTGGAGCAGCGTTTTTGCAACGAGACCGCGGATTGCTTGAAGGAGTTGAGGAAGGAACATGCGTCCGCGTCCGCGCAGCGAGAGTCAGCCGAGAGAGTGATGCGCCGTCTGGAGGAAACCCTGAAGGTGTCCTTCGCCTCCGTAATCGCGGAGGCGACTGAAAAGACGCGGCAGGAGGTTTGGGCGAAATTCGTGGGGCTGGAGTCAGTCGTGACAGCCGCAGCCGAGCGCGGAGCTCTTACTGCGCTAGCACTCTATGGTGGCGCACGTCATTTGGCTGAGCAACGTGGGACTTTCGCAGGTGGACCCAGTTTCGCAGGCGGACCCTGTTTCGCAGGCGGACCGAGTTTCGCAGCCGGGCCAAGTTTCGCAGCCGGACCAAGTTTTGGACCCGCGCTTTCGAATCCGCCCCCCTCCCCTCCCGTGACAAAGAAGCAGAAGGTTCCATCATCAGACGTTATGCCGTTCGCTATCACAGCTCTTCCTTCTGCTTTGGGTCGCGCGTCTTCACCTCTAGACGTTTCGGGAGGGGAGGAAATGGCAGCGGCGGACGCGACCGCGAAAGGGACCGCGGCTGTGAAAGGGGACGCGGCCGCAAAAGGGGACGCGGCTGCGAAAGGGGACGCAGCTGCAAAAGGGGACGATGCCGCGAAAGGTGACGGGGGTGGGAAAGGAGACGCGACCACGAAAGGGGACGCGGTTCCGAATGACGAAGGAGGAAATAATGCGTTCGAAAAATACATGGCGCTTTTGGGGGCTGAAAAGGGCGCAACCAAAAGTGGCACGAAAGGCAAGGAGAAGGAGAAGGCCGCGAAAGGCGATTTGTGTGTTGGACTTCGCCTGAATTCAAACGGGTCGGCATGGATTTTAGAGCTCCATCACGCTGGTGTCCGTCGCTATCTTGGGAATCACGAACAGAAGGAGACGGGACGGTTTCTCTGTGCTGTCGCGCTTACGGTCTGGTACAAAACCGTAAAACCGGACAAGATGGTGTTGACTCCCGACGAAGAGGCGGAATGGACCCCGGATCTGGATGTGGCTCGTGTGATGCACGAGGGTTTGTTCGCAACCCTTTATCTTCACGGCCTCACCAACAGCGCGAAAAGGCGTGTGATCCAACTTTGTACGCGTTTGTTTAGCGGTTGCAAAAGCGTCCGGTTAGCGCGAATTGGGTTTGTGTGATTACAGGATGCGGAGCCTGTTCAAGCGGTTTCGCGATCTTAAAGATGGTGCGCGCGCTCCTCAGGACGAGACCGCGTGCTCTGCCGCGGCTGGATTGGAGGTCGCGGAGGATGAGCCGTCAGGGCGCGTGAAAGGCGGTGGTGGGCCGATCGCTGGAGCCGTGGCCTTCGCCTGTGCAGCCGTGTGGTTGTTGTGCAAAGGTCCGGCTGGTGGGGACTCAGCACAGGCCTAGGAAGAGGGATGCGAAGCTGGCTGGGGCGACCGAAGTTACCGTGGCGGGATGTGAAGTGGCGTGTGTGCGCTTATTGGCCGCACTTAAGACACGCGCGAAGACAACCACCCTCCCTCCTACGGGCGAAGTCATGGAGCAGTTGGTGAACAACTCCTTCGAGAAGGGCCCGGATGCGAACCTGAAGACGATCATTTCCGAAATGGTGGATATCGTTGCTACCTGGAACCACGAGCTAGGGGCGAAGACTCGGATGACACAGCTGGGGCTGTGTGTGCTTTGCAGCACGGAGCGCGTGAAGGCCAAGAACCGCGAAGCAGGTTGTCCACGCCTAAAACGGGCATCACCCGCTCCCGTGCGTGAAGGGGGCGCGGAGGAAGTTGTCGAGGTGCAGGATGACTAAAGATTTCGACATTGGTCTGCCTGTTTTCGACAGTGAAGGTTTTTTTCGTTTGCTGTTTGAACTTTGTTGTTGATGGTCTTGTTTTCGTGCTGTTGTGAATACCCTGCGATCTTTGAACCTCTAGGATTCGTGATAACATTTTCATATTGGCTGTAGGTTTCGTGACAACTTTTTTCGGAATGAAATCTAGTAAAGGCCTAAACACCGTGTTATACAACGTGGAAACGACAATAGGGTTTTCACGCAATGTAACAAGTTTACTGCTCAATCATACATGCACGGAAACATTTCACTCAACACGCGCACGTTTCCTTTTTGGGTCATTGAATTCTACCCATGCATCCCAACTCTTGGAATACTTGTTTCGTGCCCAGTCTTCGGTTTCCAAGCCCTCTTGGACAAGCGCGATAGCCACTTTCACGTTCGCGCAGACGGTCGTGTTGCGACGCAAGTCCGAAAACACGCCAGCGTTTGGCTTTGCCGATAAGACTGTGAGCCCGTCCCGCAACGACGACATGCCAATCCGACCTCTGACTCGCTCCAGCTTCTGCACGGCTCCGTCAATACCCGCGATTCCGGGCCTTCGCGCGTAATCGCACACAGCTTGCATCACCCTTTTTGCGCGCGAGACCGCAGTTCTCTCGTTCGAGGGCAGCATGAATTTCGCTCCAAAGCCAACGGCAGCAGTTTCTTCACGCATGGACATTCCAGGATTCCCAAAACGCGTGTTGAATAACTGCCACATTTCAGGGACTGTTTCCGAATTGACCCACGGATCGAGCGCGTGGTCCTTAAACTCTTCTTCAGCCGAGCCAAGATTTCGCGGTGGCAGCGCTTTGTCCGTGCGGACGGGCTGCTTGTCCGTGCGGACACTCTCCGTGGAAAGTCCAGCCAACTGCCGACGCAACTCCTCGATCGTGGCTTGTTGCTCTGCCACCGTCTTCCGCAGCGCCGCAGCTTCGTCTTGAGCCACCTTCTTCTCCAGAATATCCATTGCGCGCCCCTCCTTTTCCATCGCAAGCTCGGCTTTGAGTTGTGTGCATAGATGTTGCGCGTGGAACCGGAGTGAGACATCCTGCAGCGGTTGAAATTCGTTAGAATGGTTCGTGAATGACTGTTCGCGGTACTATTTTCGTGCATTGAAGCGGAAATTCTCTTACTTGTACGGACAGCTTGGTTGGAGTGTTTCTCAGCGCGATGCCAACCGCGTCCCTCCAGGCCACCAGCCGGGCCCACATCCTGAATTGTGGGTCTTTGAATAGTGGTGACACTTGGACGTACGGATGATCCGGCATGTGCACGAACAGCATCGCTAGATCTTCGGCAACTATACGTCGGCCAAATTCCTTTAATGCCTCCAGAAAATGTATGGCCGCCGTGTCCTTCTTGCCTCGCTCTTGCCTGTCGTTGTACGCCTTCGCCTGCACAAGTTAGCACGGGCTCGAAAAGGTTCAGAAGTGGACCCCACACAGATGTCACACGAAAACCTAGCTGGCATACGCGATTGACATTTTTTCGGGCCCACTCGAATCTTACTAGGCAGAGTTGCAGTTCCACCAAGGAAAAATGTGCTCGTTGATGAGGTCCTGCACGTGTCTCCACGGTTTGACCTTCGAACGGCCGACGTGATAATCACCAGCCTCGCCCGAAAAGCCTGCAGATGCAAGCACCCCGACTCGCGCGATTCCTGGCAAATAGTGCAAAGTCAGAGCGTCATGGGTCCAGTTGCCTGCCCTGGCGATCTCTTTGTCCGTGACACCAGCCATTGACAGGATGTGTGCATTGCTGGCTCGCGGTGCATGCGTGACCTTGCCAATCGTGTCCTTCGCCTTTTTGTAGCCGTATAAAACCCAGTCTGCGTACATCGCATGTGGAACCTCGGAACTGTACCTTTTGCTGTGCGGCAAGAATAGGTACGTGTCGTACCACTTTTTTGGCTCACTAAAATCGAGCGGCGGGATCAAGCTACGACCGCCCCTGTAATACAGGGGTGCTTGGTCCGTGTACCAATGCAGAAGCTTGAAAACCTCGCCGACCGGGCAGCACATGAAGTCGATGTTCCTTGCCGCGACATACTTGTGTAGGCCGAAATTCTTGTTCGTTTTCCCGCTCCGCGTCGCAACCGTTAGGAGAACCGCATCCCCTACCGGATCCAAGTCCGTAAGACTCCCCATTTTGCCAAATATAAGGTCTGGGAGCTGAATTCCACGAATGTTCCCTGCGCGTGCAAGGGTGTGATGGCTCAGAAGCAACATCGCCTTTGCGCTTAGTGCTCGGTGGAGTAGGTTCGACGGTTCTCTCGCGAATGGCACGAAACACTTGAGAGCCTCTTCGGGCCACGTTTTCTGCATCATGAGCTTGAACTGGTCCAGCGTATAGACGTCCGCGTTCGTTCCACGATGGCGGTCGACGTAATCCCTGCGGAGCAAAGCAGATAGTTTTCGCGTTAATGAATTTCCGCGTGCATGCACGAACATGAATAGCGGTTAGGTAAGTGTGTCAATACTCACGTCTTGAAGCGCTTGAACTGGTTTCAAAGCATTAGTCCGACAAGAACTCGGACTTGCTCGACGTTTGCAGCAAGGTCTTCACACTCGAAGAGCACACTCTCGGCCCGGCATTGGGTCTTCAAAGCGCGAAAACGCCCCATCACCATTCCGACAGTGCAAGCGACCCGTTTCCGAACGGGCCTCGACGGGTTGAGGCTCGCGAGCAGTTCTGCCTGCTCCTTCTTTTCAGTCGTGCAGTAGGTGATGTACATTTTCAAACGCCAAGGTGTGATTCGCGGACCGTGCAGCCAGCAGTCCTCTTTTGGCTCCAGATGCCAACGGTTCCTTCTGTTCTTCCCGACCAGCACGCCCACTTCGTCGTCGTGTTCCAATTTCGCGTCGGGTGGATAGTTTCCTGGCGGAAGGGACGCGACCTCGTTGTACCACCAACGCTTGAATTCGGAAATCCACGAAAAATACTGTTTTCGCGTCGACTCTTCTAGAAGCCCGAGAATCTGGCGCACGAACGCGATTCTGTCCTTCATTTCGGACCCCGCCGGAAGGGCGTGCCAGTTCGCAATCGTGGCGCCTATTCTTTTTGCGCAGCAGGGGATAGGGTTTCACCGGCCTCCTCCCTGGCCAATTCGTCGTCCTCTTCGATTGCCCGATGCACCTCAGCCGCTTCTTGCTCTGTAGCATCATCGACGGGTACTTCGAGATCGCAGAATTCTTGGGGTTCGTCCTCATCCGCGGCTTCGTCCACGCCCGTGGCTGCACCTTCTGGGGTTGCTGAAGTCGATGGTGTCAGAATCCCAGTCACTAACCACTGGGATAAAAGGGCTTTTTTTTATATAGCGGGTGAGTGCGCCCATAACCCCCCAGGCCGACGTGCCTGTAACCCTTCCCTAGGATCATCGGGGATCCCCAGTGGACCTCTGACACCCCCCCGCACTGGGATGCCCGAGGTGCACACACCGGGAATCGAACCCGAGACCTTCGCTCTGATACCATGTCAGAATCCCAGTCACTAACCACTGGGATAAAAGGGCTTTTTTTTATATAGCGGGTGAGTGCGCCCATAACCCCCCAGGCCGACGTGCCTATAACCCTTCCCTAGGATCATCGGGGATCCCCAGTGGACCTCTGACAGATGGAGCCCCAACATTGGTGTTCGCGGTCCGTGTCTGGGGTGATGGCCCAGCATTCGTGTTCGCAGGTCGTGTCTGAGATGGTGGTTGAGCTGCTTCGCGCGCGATTGAAACAGGTACGCTAAACACTGGTCCGCGGAAAACTCCAGCTCCAGACGTTTGCGGGGGTACGAAACGGGGTTGAAGGGGGACATTTTGCGGTAGTACTGGTGGGACGGGATTGTTTGCGGACGAGAAAGTTTGAGGTGGAGGATTTGGTGCCCAATTGGGAGTCCTAAACACTGGGTCGTTGGGTCGTCGTAACCCTAATGGCATTCCCCACGGGTACCCCACGTGGTGTTGTGGGATACGTGATCTATTTAAAGCGGCTGCTGCCACGTGCTCGAAAATACTAGTGACTCCATTACCACCGAATGGCTGCTGCAGGACGGGAACGAAACTCGGATTGGTGTTCGTGCGTTGGCCAGTGTCATTCGTACACTTCGAAAGCTGTTCATTTTCGCGGAAGGCATGTGACACGAAAGCAACGCCTGCGCAAATCTGAGGGAGTGGGTCGGTGATAAATCGTCTAAGTGCGGAAGCTCGCGCCATGAGGATGAAACGACTAAGTACTTGAGGCAGGGTAGCATATCAGTCTAAGTGCTGGAAGCCTAGACAAGAAGCGAACGGCTACAATGAAAAATGCGGAACCTCGAAATGAACAAACGGAATGGGTATACCCTCCCATTGTGTGCTTACCAAACCCTGGGCAGGTTGCGTGTCCGTGACCTTTGTTTCCGGGCTGACCGACAAACGAGAGGCAACTGCGTGCATGTTTCGTGGTTCCTTTTTTCACGTTGAAAAAACAACATGCACAGCGCCAAACCAGGTGATCGTGCCGTTTACAGCCGACACAAGCTGCATGATGCCACGTGTTGATTTGCGGGCGAAGATACGTTTCGTGCAAGGATCAAAGCTCTGCATGAGTTGCGCGCGATAGATGAGGAGGGCACGAACAAAAAAATAACCAGCTATGTGAGCAGCAGTGATCTCGCGGGGTTCTCGCGAGAGCTCACGATTTTCGCAGAAGGTGTAACACGCCCATGGCGACTTCCGACAGGTGGCGACATACTACTGACCACGAATCCAAAGCGCGCCTGTGACCACGCTCGCCAGGTGTCGAGTCCCCAGGAAGCTCGATGATCGTTGCGCGCCAGAAGGACAAATGGCACGCATCCAGGTGGTCCTGGGTTTTGTACCGCCTAGGTTGTTTCCGAAGTGGCCCTTCGAAACGCGCGAAAGTTTTCGCGCGAGCGCTTTTCCGTTGGGAACTCACCACGTGTTCATGTCGAGCGTTTTCGGGTTAGCGCGCGATTCCGCGGTG